GACCACTTGTCTTACCCAAGATCCCAGCCCAGGCCAGACCCGGGTAAGCAGCGCGACGTTTAGCGGTTGCACGCCCAGTGTTCTTACTCACTCAAGTCTTCATGATATAATAATTGATGATAAGATTTTACGATTTTATCATCACTGTTGCACGTCATATCCTGTCCCACCTGCTGCATTTCGAGTCCCTCTGTGACAGCCATGCCCATTGTTTGCCACTGTCGGCCCAAAGTGTTTTTGTAGGAACAGGAAGTGCTTGACAGACACTGTCCAAGTTGCTGGCCACTGCAATGACCGTAGCAGCCTCAGAGATCCGGAACATTTCCGCATGGCGCTTGAATAAGACTGAAATGAAAGAGCTCGCTGAAAGGGTTGAGAAAGGAGAGGACGAAGCGGTGGTGAAGAAGGAGCTTCACACCAAGAAGGCTGTGGCCTGCGAAGAGCGTAAGAAATCAGCTGCGGCGATTTCTGCCTAGCCTGGATCCACGGGCCCCAAGGCAAGCAAAAAGACTTCGTCGTCGCCTGCAACTCAAGTCAGCCACGGCTGCTGCGACTCCAGACCCAACGAATGCTGGCTACTACGCTCTGGTAGAAGCGGACCTCCAGACAATTTTGCAGGAGTTCCCAGGCATTGACCAGGAAATGCCTTTGCCGCTCTACAAGTCTGAGTTGGACGGATCCAAGACTGGGGTTCAAGAACCCTTTGACTTGTCCAAGGCTCAGCATGCCCTTGGGATTCATGGAGTTTTTCGTTGATTCATGACGCGGTGAAAATGAATTGTTGCTGCAGCAGTGGCCCACTTCACGACATGTATGGCACAGATCCATGGAATTATTTATTGAAACTTCACGTTTAATGGCACTTTCACGTTTAATGTGTATGTGTGTGTTTGGGTTCTACAATGAGCCAATGGTTTTATTACATTAACAACATGTATAACATATCTATGGGTTTTGTCTTTCATGTGAATTTAGTTGAGAAGATTGCAAAATAATTCTATATTAATGGAAACAACCAAAAATCATGGATGTACTATTATTGACCAATTAACATTGACAGTAGACTCATGGCTACTTAGAATGTAAAGGTTTTGGTTATATAATGTAACCAATGGGGTCACTGGGTCATTCTAGAACCATTGGGTCATTCTGGAATCCAAGAATGCAACCACACTTGGCTCCTTTGTTTTTTGCCCAGCCCACCTAAACCTAAGATTGTCATGACATGAACCACCAAGAGCTACCAAGCAACAGCTAAACAACGCCAAGACTATAGCCCAAGACTAGCGCGGGCCCGATAGCCCAAGACTAGCGCGGGCCCAGGGGCCCGCGGGCCTTCGCGGGCCCGCGGGCCTTTGCGGGCCCGCCGCGGGCTCGCCCCGCGGGCCCGCGGGCCCGCGGAAGCACACGGTGGACCATAGCCGACATAGGGGACACGACACACACACAGACACACAGACATATATATATATATAAATACATACATATAGTTAGATATATGTATAAATATCAGGTTATGGGGTTTGCGAGGCCACGTGTAACTGGGGGCAGCACATTGTTGCAACGCGGATGGGGTTGATTCTGGTGTGTACATGTGTAGAACAGTGTGGGATTCACAAACGTGGTGTTTTGACCCCAGCATGTACCCAAAGCAACTGACTTAGGGCTATCCTGGTGCTGGAATCTTGGTGCAAAAAGTGGGCCCGCGGGGTGACTTCTTGCAAACGCGGGTTTAGAGGCGGACCTTGGGGGAATCGAAGGGGGGGGTTCAATATAGTTGTGATAATTATGTTCTAGTTATTATAGTAATTCTAGTCATTATAGGTGTTCTAGTTATTATACATGATAACTATATATATACGAATATACATATATATATATATATGAAACATATTGAAATGTCATTAGCGAAGTCTTTTGGTTGAAGAGAATATCTTGGAGGAACCCTTGCGGAAAATCCACCAAATGATCTAGATATGCTGAGCAAGGGGCAGCGATTATGCTTCGGCAACCACTAGCCAAAGCGCAATATCCCACAATTGCTGGGTAGAGTATGCATATATATATACGAATCTATATGTATATTGAGATTATTTAGTATATATGGATATATATCATGGAATTATTATGTGTATATATATTTATATAGATACATATCTTTAACTATATTGTCGAAGGAAGTTGAGAAGCTAAACTTCCGACAATATGGACAGATGAAAAGCAGAGCAGGGCAGAGGCAGAGAGAAGAGAAAGTTCAGAAGAGAAAGAGTCAGAAGAAAGAAGATGCAATGCGCGAAAAGGTAGGAAAGTCGCGATTCACTGTGTTTTTCCAATGATTTGTGGTTCCGGAGGGTCGAAAAGTAGGCTCGCTAAAGCGGCGGGTGCGGAGACATATGGGGAGATGAGACATGAAAAATAGCACGCCGTTGTGGCGCGAAGCACATTTCCAAGTCAAAATGCACAAAACACCAGAGGATCGGACCACTTTTGGCGCTTCAGATGTCAAAAGTGCACGCCGTTGTGGCGCGAAGCACATCCCCAAGTCAAAATGTACAAAACACACCAGGGTCTGACCACTTTTGGAAGTTGCGATGTCGAAAAAGTGCACACCGTTGTGGCGCGAAGCACATGTCCAAGTCAAAATGTAGAAAACACACCAAGTGCGGACCACTTTTGGCACTTAAGATGTCGAAAAAGTGCACGCCGTTGTAGCGCGAAGCACATTTCCAAGTCAAAATGTTAAAAACACTAGGGGTTCGGACCACTTTTGGAGGCTCAGAGGTCGAGTTTCGAAAAAGTGCACGCCGTTGTGGCACGAAGCACATTTCGAAGTCAAAATGTACAAAACACCAGGGGTTCGAACCACTTTTGGAGGCTCAGAGGTCGAGTTTCGAAAAAGTGCACGCCGCTGTGGCGCGAAGCACATTTCGAAGTCAAAATGTAAAAACCACAACATGTTCGGACCACTTTTGGAGGCTGAGATGTCGAGTTTCGAAAAAGTGCACGCCGTTGTGGCGCGAAGCAGATTTGGAAGTTAACATGTTAAAAACACTAGGGTTTCGGACCACTTTTGGCGGTTCAGATGTTGCTTCGCTTAACTCAATTACACTACATGACACTACACTTTGCTGCACTACACTACATTACACTACATTACATTACACTACACTTCACAACACTACAGGTTACAACTACAACTACACAACTACAGTCCACTACACTCCACTACACTCCACTACACTAAATTACACTGCACTACACTCTCTACACTACACTTCACTACATTACACGACACTACACTCCACTACACTACAAATACAACTACACCTACACAACTACACTCCACTACACTCCACTACACTACAGTACACTACACTACACTACCTTACACTACACTACACTACACTCCACAACACTACAACTAAAACTACACAACTACACTCCACTACACTACACTACCTTACACTACACTACATTACACTACACTAGACTCCACTACACTACACTACATTACACTACACTACCTGCCGCTACACTTCACGACACTACTCTACACTACACTACCACCTACAACTACAACTACACTCCACTACATTACACTACATTACACTACACTACATTACACTGAATGACACTGCACAAAAGATAGACAGGTAGACAGCTAGACAGATAGATAGATAAGATAGAAAGATAGATAGATAGATAGATAGATATAATAGATAGATATAATAGATAGATAGATAGATAGATAGATAGATAGATACATAGATAGATAGATAGATTGATAGATTGATAGACTGATAGATTGATAGATTGATAGATTGATAGATTGATAGATTGATAGATTAGATTGATAGATATGATAGATAGATAGATAGATAGATCGATAGATCGATCGATCGATCGATAGATAGATAGATAGATAAGATAGATAAGATAGATATGATAGATAGGATAGATATGATAGATAGGATAGATAGGATAGATAGGATAGATAGGATAGATAGGATAGATAGGATAGATAGGATAGATAGGATAGATAGGATAGATAGGATAGATAGGATAGATAGGATAGATAGGATAGATAGGATAGATAGGATAGATGGATAGATGGATAGATGGATAGATGGATAGATGGATAGATGGATAGATGGATAGATGGATAGATGGATAGATAGATAGATGGATAGATGGATAGATGGATAGATGGATAGATGGATAGATGGATAGATAGGTAGATAGATAGATAGATGGATAGATGGATAGATGGATAGATGGATAGATGGATAGATGGATAGATGGATAGATAGATAGATAGATAGATAGATAGATAGATATGATAGATAGATAGACAGGTAGACAGGTAGACAAGAGTGAGAGAGATCAATCGCCTTTCAGTCCAGCAGTGGCTTCGCTCTGCCATCTCTGATTCACAACAACCAATCTCTCCTATAGGTTTCCTATTTTTGAAACTTCCGCCACCGCCTTGTGCGGTACTACTGGTATATCATGTACGATTTTTGAGACTACTGCAACGCAGTCCGTCGCAACGTTCTTGCTACGACATTGTTCATCGCGGTTGTTAGGGTGAACGAAACAAAGTTCTTGAGCAATCTGACATTGTCGAGTTTCAGTGCGGGTCTTGACTTCGGTTGGGGTGGGGATGTATGTAAACGTGGTGGATGAAAGTGCATGTGCGGCTGTTGGCGTTTCCTTGTAGTCCGCCTATGTTGCAAACCCGGCTTTAGAGGCGGACCTGGGGGGAATCGAAGGGTGGGGGGGGGGCCCCCCCCCCTTGAAAGGCGGACCGAGACATAACCGGCCCAAACTCTTGCACTTGCACCGCTCGCCCCCTAATACTTGCTACGCAAGGGGGAACTCAGGTAGCTCACCGCTACCTTTCGAGATATATCCAAACTCAATCCCATGATATACCCATAGAAAAGGCCATGTTTACCGTTTACCCCATTCTACCAGTGAGTTGCCAGCAACCTTCTGGCCTGTAGGGAGGTCGCTGGAAGGCGGCCTTTGGCGAAGGCATTGAGCGTCAGGCTCCAGTCCTGGTGCTGTGGATCGAAGGAAGTAAGTAGGAATCAACGTCTTTCAGGCATCCAAAAATAGTGCGTTTGATTCAGAGTTCGATGATGTTCATCTTTGTATGTATATATATACGCATATGTATGTGTATGTATGTATGTATGTACGTATGTACGTATGTACGTATGTACGTATGTACGTATGTACGTATGTACGTATGTACGTATGTACGTATGTACGTATGTACGTATGTAGGTATGTAGGTATGTACGTATGTACGTATGTACGTATGTACGTATGTACGTATGTACGTATGTACGTATGTACGTATGTACGTATGTACGTATGTACGTATGTACGTATGTAGGTATGTATGTATGTATGTATGTATGTATGTATGTATGTATGTATGTATGTATGTATGTACGTACATATGTATCTATATATATAAATATATATAAATATATATATGGTGCTGATATTGTCTATAAAACATTTTTATGTGCGTGCCTGTTCAACAAGTGACAAACATGTCTAAGTAATTCAGCAAACACCTTCCATCGAATACTGCATCCAATCAATTGGATGTTGAAAACGCAATGGATGGAGTACCATGGATTACCCAAATTTCATGGATTAGAAACCCAGGAAACTCAAAGTAGAAACCTCAGAAACGAGGGAAGATATGTGATGCTATGGCCTGCTAGCCAACAAAATGCTGCACAAAAAATAACATGTAATTACTTTACTTCGTGTGATCCCCACCATGACATCTATACGTTTTGTTACTGACATATCTTCTGGCATTCGATCTGGCATAATATCTGGCATATCTTCTGGCATTTTATCTGGCATATCTTCTGGCATTCTATCTGACATGCTATCTGGCGTTCTATCTGGCATATCTTCTGGCATATCTTGTGACATCCTATCTGGCATTCTATCTGGCAAACCTTCTGGGATTCTATCTGGCAAACCTTCTGGCATTCTATCTGGCAAACATTCTGGCACTTTATCTGGCATACCTTCTGGCATTCTATCTGGCATATCTTCTGGCATTCTATCTGGCATATCTTCTGGCATTTTATCTGGCATATCTTCTGGCATTCTATCTGACATGCTATCTGGCGTTCTATCTGGCATATCTTCTGGCATTCTATCTGGCCGTTGAGGTCCAGCGGTGCTCACTGAGCTCGGAAGGTCCCAGGTTGAGGTCCGGCGGTGCTCACTGAGCTCGGCGGGTCCCAGGTTGAGGTCCAGAAGGTCCCAGGTTGAGGTCCAGCGGTGCTGGTCCCAGGTTGAGGTCCAGCGGTGCTCACTGAGCTCGGCGGGTCCCAGGTTGAGGTCCAGCGGTGCTCACTGCGCTCAGACCCTTGCAGTTGAGGTCCAGCAGTGCCCACTGCGTGCGGGAGTTGGCGAAGAGCTTGGCGAAGAGTTGGCAAGGCGGAAGTGGACATGGAAGTGAAGGCAGAGGTGGTGGAGGAGAAGGAGGAGAAGGAGAAGGAGGAGGAGAAGGAGGAGGAGGAGAACAACTCTGAGAAAATCTAACAACCCTCACCTGGCAGGTGGGAATTAACCAACAATCATGGACATGGCTGTTGCAACAAAAATGCCTCGGAAAAATGGAACCTCCAACGGATGTTCGGAAAGGTAAATCTCAATCGATCTGAAAACCATCTCCCAACTTGAAATAGACCCTGCCATACCCTGCCATACCCGGATGGTTGAAAGGCTACATGTCTATAAAAAGTCGCAATTCAAGGGCCCATGTTGAGGTTTCCTAAACTAAGGATACCCCCAAATCATCCATTTCAATGGGATTTGACATTATAAACCATCCATTTTGGGGTACCCCCATTTATGGAAACCCATGTGGGCCTTGGGTTCCAGCGGTCCCTCGGCCGCATCATACCAACGTTCCGCCGCCAAGGTCAAAAACTCTGCACTGCCTCTCAACCCCAGGCACCGGAACGTGTGTATCACCAGTGATATCTGGATGGGTCAGCAGGCAGTCATTTATGCAGGCATAGTATAATCCCGCTGTAATGAAAACATCACCAGGGCCTTGAAATTCCCAATGTCCATATCCCACTTGATCCCACTTGAAACCTGGACGTTGCATCTTCTGCTGGGTAGTTTGATTGCACCCAAACAAATGAGAATAGTCAAGAATGAGCATGACATGCGGAAAAAATACAGTAAGTCGGCCATGGGTAGTCGTTTCATGTCATTTGAGTCTTCTTGAATTCGAGAATCGGAGCCCAACAAAAAACGAACGAAATGGATATGTTTCAACCCCTCAAGCAGCCAGAGAAGGAGCCCATTGGTTGACCACCAGCTATACCAATGGTGCTCTGTAGGCATGGTTGGCAAGTGTTTTTGATGGAGGGATAACACCCAAAGCATTTTGGATCCGTAATTGATTGGATCTAGAGTAAACTTCAGTGATTCAGATTGAGTGAGCCACTATATCAGAAAAGAAAATATCATCTTATCATATAAATTCAAATATAGAATACCTATACCTATATATATATATACCATCATATACCCATGTATTCTACTTCGCGCTTGCCACCATCGGGCCTGAAATGGACCAAACCACGCAGGTCAACGCACGGAGCTGCGGTGCACTGAGCTTGGAGAACTTGGCCTCTGGAGCAATGGCGAGTACCCGGCCTGGTAAACGTTACAAAAAACGATGGAAAGATCCACTATTGTTAATGGGTAAATCCACTATAAATCACCATTTTTTTATGGAAAGATCCACTATTGTTAATGGGTAAATCCACTATAAATCACCATTTTTTTATGGAAAGATCCACTATTGTTAATGGGTAAATCCACTATAAATCACCATTTTTTTATGGAAAGATCCACTATTGTTAATGGGTAAATCCACTATAAATCACCATTTTTTTAATGGAAAGATCCACTATTGTTAATGGGTAAATCCACTATAAATCACCATTGTTTAATGGAAAGATCCACTATTGTTAATGGGTAAATCCACTATAAATCACCATTTTTTATGGAAAGATCCACTATTGTTAATGGGTAAATCCACTATAAATCACCAGTTTTTAATGGAAAGATCCACTATTTTTAATCAGTAAATCAACTATTTCGACTGGGCCATTTTCAATAGCTTTTTGTATGTTTACCGGAGGGTAATGTGGACAATCAATACCCATAATTAGGATCCGGCTGGTGCTGGTAGAAAAATGCTCACATTTCTAAGGGGTTTTTGTTGATGGGATCCATGGCACACCATAGCAGCACCATGGATCCGTCATGGGATATGGACAATCATTGGAAATCATTGGAATATCTGGGAAATTCGAATATCAATTAGTATATATCTCATATTTTATCTCAAATATTTAAAACATGTTCGCTGCAACCCTGACGCTGCGCCGCATCTGACTTCAGGTGGCTATGAAGATAAAGTTGATGTTATTACCCCAACCAAAATACTGCTCATAGGGGGTGGCGAATTTTGATTCCTTATGAAGATAAAGTTGATGTTATTGCCCCAATCAACATATTGTTCATAGGGGGTGGCAAATTTTGATTCCTTATGAAGATAAAGTTGATGTTGTTACCCCAATCAACATATTGTTCATACGGGGTGGCAAATTTTGATAAAGTTGATGTTGTCACCCCAGTCAACATATTGTTCAGAGGGGGGTGGCAAATTTTAATGTGATGATGATCACAATGTGATGATGTGATGATGTGAATGTGATGATGATGATGATGATGATGAGGATGATGATGATCATGACGATTATAAGTGTGGAGCAACGTCCGGGTTGGGCGAACATGTTAAAACAATGTCATTTTTACCACCCATGACTGTAAATGGTGAATGGTAAACATACCACCTATATATATATATTTATATTTATATTTATGCTGACGACTGGGGGATAGTGCAAATGGCATTGTTTTACCCACATTAGTTACGATTAAGATATGGATTCAAGAATGTTTTTTTCAGACACATACATAATCCAAGATGGTATAGTCCAAGATTATGTTGACGACCGGATTTTGACAGAACCAGTGGTTCTCGGGCCAATCTCTAGATACCCTGAGATATACCTGCCCCGCATCAACACAACGAACATACCCTCTGGTAAACGCTTACATAACTATGGAACATCACCATGCTATTAATGGGTAAATCAACTATTTCTATGGCCATGTTCAATAGCTTCTTGTATGTTTACCAGAGGGTATTGCCTGGGGATGCTCATCCGTCATCTCAATCTGCATACCTATCCCGCTACGGTCTGCTGGGTACGAATCCTATTGGGTTTACCACATGACTGATCCATTATTCCATCATTTCACTCAATAGTGATCACTAAAAAAATGCCACTGTGATAGATCATGATTATTGGGTTTACACATTTCATTGTTGATTGTTGACTAGTGATTATCCATAATAATAATTGATTTCACTCAACTCCACTCAACCAGGAGCTGGTCTCACCTCGGCTGCTTGTAGCACTGATCTTTGCAAAGGTTCGATGCTTGGCGATGGTGAGTCACGGCCAGTCCTCAATGGTTGAGATACATTGCAATGGGACTGGGATACATTGCAATGGGACATCCGCTACAAAATAACATATGCAAATAGTCTATAGATTCTTCACCGTTGAGATCACTAGAGGTAAATCCAAGGAGGTGGTTTTTGGGGACAAGGATGGACAAGGGACATCTAGAAGGGGGTTCAATTGGGAACTGATCTGGTTGGCGCAGGGTGATACAATACCTCGGAACAAGTCATCTATGGCAACCAGGAAACATATCCCCTCAATGTGCCAACCGAACGAACGATGAAAAAACATGGATCAAAAGACTCCGTCGGATTCAAGCAGCCGAATGGTTTCAAGCAGCTTCAAGCAGTTATGGAAAATCACTATTTTTAATGGGTAAATCCACTATAAATCACCATTTTTTAATGGAAAGATCCACTATTTTTAATGGGTAAATCCACTATAAATCACCATTTTTTAATGGAAAGATCCACTATTTTTAATAGGTAAATCCACTATAAATCACCATTTTTTAATGGAAAGATCCACTATTTTTAATAGGTAAATCCACTATAAATCACCATTTTTTAATGGAAAGATCCACTATTTTTAATAGGTAAATCCACTATAAATCACCATTTTTTAATGGAAAGATCCACTATTTTTAATAGGTAAATCAGTAAATCAACTATTTCGACTGGGCCATGGCTTCAATAGTCTCAGAAACCTATTGAACTTTCATGAATCTCCCCGAAACGACTTTCCGGGTTTCCCAAAGGGACGGTTTCCCGGACATGTTTCGGATCCGCGATTCGGCGCCTCCGTGCCAGCAAGGCCACACAGCGTCCCAGGCCCACCAAGGTCTGGCGTCGCTGGATGTGTTCCATAAATGGGGCTACCCTAAAATGGTCGGTTTATATATGGAAAAACATGGAAAAACTTATGAACAGGGATGATTTAGGGGAAGCCTCCGTAGATGTATATATAGCTATGTCAACATACTGGATCTAATTGGTTGGTAAAAACCTGTCTAAAGCAATTATTGATAAGGTTTCTGCATGGTTTTCATCCTTTTTTTCACAAATAAATGGTATCTTCCCATAGAAATAACCCGAAGAAACACCGTTTTTTTTCACCCAGGGATCGGTCACCGGTTGAGGTCGATGACTGAGGACTAAAACCTTGCTTAATAATGGTTAATAGTTAGGGGACTAACCAATATTATATAACCATAGGTATTGATCCACTATTAATAAATTAATCCACTATGACAATCATTAATATTCATGACATGGAAAACCTCCATTGGTCGATTTCAGATTTCTACCTTTCGTTTCCAGAGGGTAAATATGGAATAATCTGATATAGTCACATTATCAACGATTCTTCACCATTACTTTACTTACCATTTTTAACGTTTAACCATGAAAATTACCATTCTTCATGTTTAACCATTAATTACCATTAACCAGTGTTAACCCATTAGTCCATTCTTCATCATTCTCGAGCATCACTATGCGCGTCTCCGCGGCGAAACGGAGCGGAGCTTTTTTTGCTTCCCGGGATCAACTTGGCAAGTTGCTGTTCACACAACATCAATGGCCATTTCAGGAACCCAAATTGGAGGTACCTACCATACATAAGGCCTACTGTATGTAAGGGAATTTCCCATTGACAACATGGAAATAAATATTATAACTCTGGTCCAAGAACTAAACTGACAATATATATATATATATATATATCAATATATTATAGTTGATAACTCTGATATCTGGACCACAAGTTGCTTGCTTTATCACACTGACAATATATTATAACTTTGGTCCAGCAAGAACTTAACTACAGATCTTGCAAAAGGTATGATAAACTAGCACTCGTCGCAGGACTAAAACCTTAAACCAAAATACGTGTGGCCATGCAACCTCAAGCGATTCCATTTGGCAACACCCTCAAGCCATTGGGGCTCATATCTTGCCAATCCAATTAATGGGCAAATGATAATAGTCATCCACAGGCTGGAAAGATTCGCCATAACTTTGGGGATGACTATTATAAGTTATACCCATATACTGCCCATATACAAAACATTCATCCTTGATCTCCATATTTCCCAGCAGAATTGTCATTCCACCATGGACGGTCATCTGGGTCATCCTCTATTTCACGCTGGAAAGTATGGACATGTTTATCCAATTCACATCATTGAAACTAACCCTGGTGAACGCAAACCCTGGTGATATGAATATGAATCATATGAAAGAAGCTTTCACTGTTTCCAAAAAGTCATGGGGGTAGCCCATTTATTAAAAATTGATGGCTTATTTCATGGAAAATCCTATAAAAGACTATTGATGGTTTATTTCATAAGGCCAACTATTGATGATTCACTTGGCCTTATTTCATGGTTTATCCCAAATCTGACTGACTCGGATGCTGACTGACTCGGGGTACCTCCATGACTTAAAACGGAAACCTCCACAGACCATGGCTACAGAGCTACCACTGGCGGACCGTGACCTCCAGTTCTACATCTGCTGTGATCGCCGAGGCAAGGGCCTCGACAGTGGGATTTACCGGTGATTTCATAGGCATAAATACATGGCACTGTAAATATATGGCAATAAATATATGGCAATTTAGAAATGTGTTTTAAAATTCTTGATAATTTATATATGGCAATGGAAAAACCAAGGGAATATTCACATTGAATGAGAGCATTGCATGGAGAATTCATCGACAAAAATTGGACTTTCGGGGTATAAAGCCAGCCATGATATAGGGATATAATGGACAATGGGATAATCGGATATATATATATATAATATACACATATATACTTATATATGGAATAATGGTGTCTATGGAAACCAACCCACACAATGATTTGACCAAACACATTGGCTTTCACCCTATAAAATTCAGGATGCTGCCGACATTCAGAATGTGAGCAACAAGATTGAGATATGTTACATGACGAGTGCATAGATATCCTTGCAACCCAAATGCCTTAGTTTCAAAGTCAGGGATCCAGGGGGTAAGTGTCCTGGCAGTTGGATATCACACAAGCGGTTTTTTACTGTTGGGAATTCAACCCACAATCACTGGACCAGCAACGGCACAAAATAGGAAGTATACCTTCAAATCACCTAGTCAGGAGAATCAAGACACACAATAATTTATGTTTTGTTTATCAACAAGCAGTCGTTCCTCATGTGGTTTTTATCCAATATGAAACATTGATAAACTGTTTTTGGGGAGATGGATTTGAATCCCCGGCATATAAAAAATGCATTACTTGTACATGTTCACTAAGTTGATAATGCTTTACGGTACTGGAATGATCACCATTGTTGTTGCTGAAATCACCATTTGTGTTGATGGAATCCCCATTCCAAAATCACGGTATTACCGTCTGGTTATTTGACGTAGCGACGTGGCACATCTCCAGATTTCTAAAATGCAAATCATCATAAATATTAATCATGTCTCACTAATTGGGCGATATCATAGCAACGATACCTGGTACACGAATTCAGAGGCTACTCATATCATAGCAACGATACCTGGTGCAAGAATTCAGAGGCGACTCATTTATAGTTGTCATTTCTTGATGATCAAATAACATTGATATAAAATGTGATCATCAAAAAAAGATAGATCCAGTGATAGTTTCCATTGATCGTCTCCATGAAAACTCTCCAAAAAAATGGGACCCGTCATGTCATTTGTGACTCGTCATTTATGACTCAGCTCCCGTAGTACCAGCGCACCTGGGAAGTTTCCAAAGTACTGGGTCCCTGCCGCGCACTGGCGCAGCGGGACAACAAGCGCTGCAGCTCTGAGGCCGAAATCTGCCCCTGGAAATGCGCGATGCGATGGTTGACATCTCCTTTTAAAATCTTAATGGTGGAACATATATATATATATATATATAGGATGGTTGGATGATTCACGTTTTGTTGATCTCTCCGATTGTTGAGACTAGAAATTCCCTTAGTTCAAGTTTTATATCTCGGTCATGGGCAACAATCCTGGTGCTGGTCTTCTAATGCTATGTCGGCTATGTCGGCTATGTCTATTTATTCACGGTGTAAATGTCCGGATAGCGCATGGGTGAACAGTCAATTTTTTTTTGTTCAAATTCCAACATATCACCCAAAAATGGTACTGTTTTTGCTGCTGATCTCACCATGTTCGTTGGCTAAAAAATTGATGTGCCCATTCCTCTGATCCTCCGATGTCTTGGTCCGGTCCGGTGTGATTTCCAGATATTGGATGATGATGATGATGATGATGATGATGATGATGATGATGATGATGTGATTGGCTAGTATAATGATTGTAGTATGTCATCCATCATTGCATTTGGATATGTAACTCCTTTTGGTCATATGTATAATTATATAATTATATATACATTATATATATATATATATGACACTATACATATACATATATATATATATGCATATACAGATAAGTATATATCATCATCCACTGGTATATATTATCATGACAGGGGTCACTGTATGTCACTGTTCGCCAAGCTCTCCGTCCTGAAGCTTCGCCGCATCTTCCAGTTGTCGTTGCAGCGGCACTCGCGGCCTGGGAAGGTGTCAACTGGCGTCAACCGTCAAAACTTGGGAAGGCGATAACCGAAGCAATAGGATGTACCCTCTGGTAAACTAACATAACTATTGAACATGGCCATTTATAGTGGATTTACCCATTAAACATGGTGATTTTCCATAGCTATGTAAACGTTTACCAGAGGGTAATCAGTACTCATCATTTACCTTGCTGCAATCTTTTGGTTATCCCCCAATCTAAAATGGTCGATTGCTTTCAGGGGAAATATATCGGACACCGTGGTAAAATTACCATTCAGAAACTGGGTTCCGACAGTTGGGATTCGCTGCAGCCAATGGGAGTTCACACATTTGGGGAGACGCTGGGGGGATAACAACTGCCACGCAATTGTCACCCGTATCAACCTTCAGCATCCAGCATCCTACCCTCTGGTAATGACTAACTGTTTGCTATTGAAAATTGCAATTTATAGTGGAATTTCCCATTAAAAATTGTGATTTTCCATAGTTATGTTAGTTTATCAGAGGGTAAATCAAATTGGATGAGTGTAGGAGTGTAGGAAGACCTGGGCTCATGATTTTGTTCCCCTTTGAACTCAGGATAAAATGTGAATTTAGTGTCCATTGCTTACTCCGAACAGCCGCTGGATTGTGAGCTAATGGCATCGGCTGTTGTGTGCATCGGCTGTGAAGCTGCCTGTGAACTGCAAACCTTCCTTTTTTTCTCCAACAACGCTGCCACCTCCAAGCTAAGAAACTGGGCGAAGACGGCGTAGGCGAATGCCATTTAATTTGAATGCAAGCACCACTCAATCAAAAGAACTCATGTAAAGGTGGCACAAAATTGAGCGGATTATTTTTTGCAGCAAATCTGGAGGCACACCCCATCAAGAAAGCGAAGATATGATCCGGAAAATGGAATGAACGAGAAATGTGCAGGGAAGCTACGTGGCAAAATCCAAAACTCAACAAATGTGTAGATCTCAGGGCATTAATGGACAGCTGGTGGGATTGGAACAGTCGCATGGCAGCTCGCTTGAACCTTTGGACAAGCACTTTCAAAGTCATGGATTGATTTATGAAACCCGGAAAGTATCCAAACTGGAAAACAAAATCTGCCATGATTTCAACCCACGACGTTCTATGGATGGATCTATGCGATCCAACGACCCATGCCGATTGGGAGAAAAATTCACAAATAGCGCCAGCTGCGCTGGGGCTAAGCCGCATGGGTCCGGCAGCCAAAAATGCAGGATCTGGACTTGTGACTAATGGCTGCCACATTTCTTGGGGATAAGCGATGGCGATATACCTGTTATGGTGAGAAGATACTCTAGTTCTGATAAAAGGACTAATTGGTTCGCCTCGTTTAACACAAGAGATGAACATGTTTTCGGCATCACCGGCACGGATTTCCAGTGGGCGACACGTCCCAGAACAAACAGAGCCCTTAGAAAAAATCCGAGTTTTGGGGGCGCAGGAGCATACAAATGATGAAGTCAACACCTTGTAATGGGGAAAAAAATCTTGCCCCGCTGGTATCTCCGCTGGTAACATTTTGAAGAGCGAACTACGTGTGGCCAACGTATGGACCAAATGGGCCTGCAATGACATGGCCAATGCAAGTTCTTCGCAGGCCGTTTGTTGGCGGGCTTCGAGGAAAGCCCAGGCAGTATCTTTTGCTAACTTGTCAGCACAAGAATTACCTTCGGTGAGAAAAGGATCTTGACAAAGGTCGTGTTTACCACAGTGGGCTTTTACTTTATACATCGCGAAAGGCTGGCTTCGCTTGTTGGCCACAAAATTGAACAAAACCCACAGATCCCGATTGTCAAGATTGGTGATACATTTATTTGAGAAGCCACAGCGTCGTAAGAAATTGACAATGTTGACCACATTTGCACAATCGGAATAAATTGTGATATTTCCGGCGCAGTGCCACAAAGCTGCGATGACTGCAAATATCTCAGCCCGTTGGCTTGTTTGATCAAGGCCTGGTAGGAGATAAGCTTTTGAGCATCCACACTTCGAAACAACGGCTGCTGCAGCAGATCTCATAGGTGCCCAAGAGTGATGAAAACAAGAGCCATCAACAAAAATTGGACTTTCAGGCTCAAAAGCTTGAAAATCCTCCATGGGAAGAACGGGCCTAGAGACAACTTCCTGCCGCCACTGGGTGATTAGTTCACCTTCTGGGAAAATGCCTGTACACCACGTTGTGTCATGGAAGAAACTTGAAGGTCGATTCCTTTCGTAGAGACCACACGATTTGAATAAATGAAGGTGGTCTTCTCTTTGGTCGCATCCTTCACACTTATCATCCGTAGTAATCCCTGCGGCTTTGCATCGTGCTCTAGTAAGAACACTGCCAGTCCTCAGGGCCCGCAGTAGGGACTTCGTGTAGGCATGATTCTTTGGCAAGAATTGAATTGCATCCTGCGCAAGTTGTCTGTCAGAAAAAGACGCCAAAGAAGCGTCTTCGAGAATGCGTGTTTTGGCTATATCGATGTGGAGATCAAGTTCGCCTTGCCAGTCGTGCCTAGCTGGGACACGGGCCAACAACATTACACGAACTGATCTTGCAAGTTCCTCGTGAAAATTCTTTTTTGATCCGTAGAGTAAATCAATCGGGGTGTCACCTGGCCGGGAAAACGTCATGCTTTCGTCTTCACGGAACGACCACTTGAGCCGGCTGAAGACGACAGCCAGAACATTGGCCGCTCCATTGGAATTTGCTGAGCAGGTCTGACGTTTCTCTTTGGCGCTGCTCACGAGCCGAGCAGCAGCTGCGGGATCCTTAAAGGCCAGGTCCCTTAGTCTAGATAAAATTCGTTTGAAAGCGGCAGCTTCAGGATCAACAAAAGGGTCATGACCAGTGGCCAAAATAAGATAAGGGGACCTATTGGTTTTTAAGCCTTTTGACAACGCCTTAACCACTGCCTTTCTCAATTTGTCAAGCTTCGTATTGTTTGGTAATTGGCATTCAACACCGTGCAACCACTTAGAATGGGCAACAGAATGGATGAACCCCGTCATGTCATGTTCATTACATGGTAAACAAGACAGTTTCTTCAGGGAACGAAAAGCTGATTCTACCCGAGAATTTTGGAATGCTGCGGATTTTAATCGGTCAACACGGTGGGTAAACCCAAGTGATTTCGCAACTGTCTTCCTTGATACTTTGACCCGGACACGCCGCAAGAATTCTTCTGCTTTCTTTGTTTTTCTGGCTAGCAAGAATGTTTTATCGAAGTTTACTTTTTGTCCTACTGCGGTGTCATAAGCAACAAGTTCATTGAATGCCTTTTCAAGATCGGAGGAAAACAAACCCTTAGCCCAAATTTTCACATCATCAATAAAGCATGCTGATGAAACTTTGGGGTACAATCGCTGAAGATGCGCTGAAAGGATTGCATACATTGAATTGACCATAATGATGCTCATAGAACAGCCTTGCACAGCAGCATTTGTTCCCATTACTTTTCTACCATAGGCATTCCCAAGTTTGAAGATTTTTACCTGGTGGTGATAAAATGCGAGGGTGGCCCGAAAGATTTGGTCAGGGATACCCAGAGAAGAGGCCAAACCCATGGCTAATTCTGGTAAAATAAGGTCAAAGCATTTGGTTCGATCAATAAAGACTGCAATGGGGTCATCCCGGAAATTATTTTCGTGGAAGTCCAATGATAATGACAATTCAGATTCGAAGGCCTGCCTATTCGGAATTCCTCCTAATAAGTTGTTGGGGAAAACTTGTGCCATCCATGGGGCAAGTTGTCGGAACCTCAACGAACTCCAAATTCCATAAATGGCAGAAGATACCCCGATTGCTCGCACATTTTGGGGGGAGGAAATGGGTGCTCCTTTGGAAATAGCGGTGACAGCAACCATCCTTAAAACCTTAGGCCAAACTCCATAGGCTTCAGCAAGTCGCATGACAAAAGTAAACCCAACCCAACCACATGGGGGTAATGCCTGGAGTTCCTTAGTTTTCCACCCATCGAATCCGCCGGCCTTACATTCACTTTTTCTCTGAAACAGCTTAAAAACATCATGATGATCAATATCTGGGATATTTGCAGGGTGATGAAGTTGATCAATGGCACCAGAATATGTGCGTAAAGCACTATTCAACATATTCTGGGGATCGACCCCCGCGTGTTCGTTGTATATATCTTCCATGTGGTCGCTAAGCATATCCAGCATTTCATTTGGGGAAGCCGTGAATTCGTTATCCTCTTTCAAAAAACACTTTGGGGGGCCAGCATGCTTCCCTTTAAGCCATGAGAAGACGAATTTCTTGTCAGTCTGGCTGGATATCTGGATTTTCTTTTTCCATTGTTTCACGGCGAAAATTCGCCGTTTTTCCTCTTCATGAGCCTGGGTTTCTTGAATCTTATTTCTGGCTTCGGAAGCGACATGCGGAAAATCATGAACTGGAAAACAACGAAAATGGAAGTCGGGGCAAAACTTGTTGAACCAACATTGTACGTTCTTTTCCAAATTGGTTATTTCCAGAATCTTTGGTTGGGATAGTGGAACGCCCCTTGAACCATTGCTACTGTGGCAACTGTAAATACTTCCGGACATGATGGATTCAATCTCTGTAATTCTGGCTAGTGTCTTGGTAAGCCATGTTGTGGGATTTTTTGAAACTGAGGAAAGCAGTTTGAATTTGGGAATGGTGCCCCTGGTGTGTCTAGTCTTCGTAGAAGCAAGGGAATCCAACATATCAGACGCAATTTGACAAGCAACCGACCATACCTGCTCAGCATCACCAGTTGAAGATGCTTGGATTAATTCGGGAACATACTTATCTAAAATTGGACGACATGAAGCCTCCCTGATGTCCCATTCGGAGTCATTTCTTGGTTTGGGGGGCAATTCCCATTGATCATGGGGGGTAACTACGTAATAAGGTTCATGTATCACTTCCGGCCGGATCGTCAGAAACACAGGGCGGTGTCCTTTGAAGGGGGACCCCTTAATAACCACACAATCACCCACCATGCTCATGGCCGAATAATTGCAAAGGAAATGGTCAATGCGTGTTTGTCCTGGTTTGACACCAAAATCTTTCCATCCCAAAGTTGAAAACGTAGCTTCACATTCCGATGACTTTGTGGAACTTACAAGGGCATATGCATCAAACCATAAATTGGCCAACATTCCGTGGATAATCGCCCGGTTCTCTTCGGGGAGTTCTTGGAAATCCCCCGCCCAAAAAACAGGGTGCGGTTCCAAAGTTGACAGAAAGGAAAGGATACCCTCAGCAACCCTCTCCCTTTCTTCTTTGTTTTGGCGGCCAGTAGGAAGGTAAGAATTGACTATGTAGATGCCTGAAGAGCATCTCTGGTTTGCCCCAGTGGTTGCGCAATTAACCCATAAAATGGTCGTTGATGCAGACACGTGGGACCACGGTTCTGGAATGTCAATTTTTTGACATTGGATATCGGACTTGATCAAAAAAGCTGTCCCACCATGCGTCTGACGGAAGCCATTCTTTTTGCCTATTGTAGGCTTGATTTCTGGCTGATGTCCAAAAACAATGTGCCATCCGTGTCGTGACAAATGCCCTGAAATGAAATCAGATTTGTCAGGGGGGATTCGGGTTTCCTGTAAAGCAACAACATGAACAGGTGACGGACAGAAATCAGAGATCCCGACGACAAAGGAAAGATTCTTAACTAGAGAAGTGATGTTGAGAGACACAAGACCAAGAGGACCCTCTCCAGGATACCCAAGGCAAGGATAGAAAAGTAGAGACAAAGAGAACTGCACTCCAAGGGCCCAAACATGAAAGCAGGAGTGGAACACTTCATCAATTGAGTGATGCAAAACTCTCGAATTAGGTTCATGCACGAGCCTGCCTGGTCCAGGGCTCGAATAATTCAACTGTCCTGACTGCAAATTTCCATAGCGCAAACTAAAATGTATGCTTGGACTGCTTGGACTCACTATGGTCGCGCAGAAAGCCACTACGCGTAGGCCACGGCAAATGGAAGCTCTGCCACGGTACATGCGAAGGTTAAGAGGATTTCTAGTTGTTTTGCCATGAGTGCGAAGAACTTTTGAAAGTTTGCAAGGCAGAAGGTGAACCAACCAAGACAATGAAATGCAAACCACTGGAGAAAAAGCCAAACAAAGCTTTACCGTGGCCATCACTAGCTCCATTAATTGGAGTGGATCTACGACTTCGCAACCACCCGCCAGCACTTCAACAATTTTTCTGCCAAAAGAAGGCAACCACAAAAAGGAGAAATGAACAAGGCATATCCTCATGCTTATGAGCCGGCAAGTGCTTCCACATCCCACTGACATCAGCTGCCCTTGCCGGTCAGCTTCTGTACTTTAGGGGGCGGAGATGGGATCGCAGGAGAGCTACTCTCATTCTTCAACTCCATGATGGCGTTCATGAGCTGGCTAAATCCTCGATCTTGGCTCTTCGCAATGTCATCCAACCGGGCAGATGTGTTCTTCTGCTCTGTCTTAACTGTCTCCAACTCATTGGTGACACGCGCTAGCTGCTGCTCAAGGCTATCAACTCGGCTGGAAATGTTCGCCGCGATCGGTGTCATCAAGCTTCCTTGTACTGGTTGCGACTTGCTTGGCTGGAAGGATCTGGGCACAGCTGGAAAAGCTGGGCTAGCTGAGGAGGATCCTTGAGAACTCTGTGGCGTAGAGGCCTGCGCTGTGGAAGTACTTTGGGAAATTGCACGGGGCCTTCTCACTGCCTCATCGATGTGCAGCGTAGCCACTGATGTCAAGATCCTCGGTGAGGGCGGCGCCGAGTCAGAGGCAACGAAGGCCACAGCCAAGTCTGACATGTGCAAGACTCGCTGCACAATGACATTCCACTTGGCTTGGCGAAGGGCTTCGTGGACTTGGTCGATGTGGATTCCGGCTGGGAAACCTTGAACTCGGAAATGTAACTTGCACTGCATGTGGATATTCTGCTCATTGAAGCGTGTGTCTCCAGGCATCCAGAATCTTCTTGCCTTGGCCAGGTGTTGTGGATGAACCCGTGCATACACTGAATGTTGGGAAGCAAAGACACCGAGGAAGCCTTCCAACTTGCCCTGAGAGGCCTGCTCAAAGACATCTTTAATCTTCAGGTCAGGCGCGGGAAGGCGGAGAATCTCTATTCCATCTTCTGCTGGGTCATAGGCAGTGCGCGCCGGACGAAATTGCACCGATGATCTACCAGACAATCGGTACAAATCATCCCGCGACTCTTCAGGAACTTGCAACTTCTTGGCCACATAGCCTGGTTTTTCCATGGTTTTGTGGAGCACCACCTGCTGGTCCTTTTCTAGTGACTTAATCACTTCCATCACATATGTATCAATGGCATGGCTGGATCCATAAGCGCGCCAGTCCTGTTCAGTGGCATCTGTTTGCCGGATTTCGCAAAACATAGTCATCTTTGGGTTTTGGTCGATCTGGATTTCCTGGTCACCCTCAGCTTTCTCAACGAAAAGGGAGGAATCAGAAGCCATATTGACGAGCGTACATGCCCTTGACTCATCTGATGTTTGCAACGGATCTCGAACTGAGATAATGCACTCCACAATTCTTCCAGGCTCAAACGCCAGGGCTTGGACTTTCTTCCTAGCATATCCCTTCACAATCAAGACAAGGGCTCCGTGACTTCGCAGGGAGGCCAGTTCTTTGACTGTGGCGATGTTGGCAAAGGAGAAGCCTTCGGAGTTCTGATGGAGACGATCGCAGGAAATCACTTCAAGATGGGAGCAAGGCTCACCGCTTGCCATCTGAAATTCATCCAGCACAGCCAGTGACAAACCCGAGCGACCATTACGAGTTTCCCATGGGCTTCGATTGGAAGTTTGTCTCATCCCCCGAATGTTGGGGTGAAGTTGAAAGAATTGACGGCTTTGCAAACCAAAGAAATAAAGGGTAGTATGGGTGGATACCCCATGACAAAAAGACACTAAAATAAGCCACATAAGCCATGGTAGATGTTTGCTACAAACCACCCTTTGCATGTCCGCTCCGCCCCGTGAAGGCCTCTACCTAGGTGACCCTGAGGCCACGCCCCGGCCCCTTGAGCCAAAATGGCTACGGACTTCATCTGGTTGCCAGGGCAGCCCTTCCACATCCAGATGGGATTTTTGGATCCCCAGATCCTCCAGTAAATCAACCAGTGAATACCCTGGAATACCCTGGCATTTAGGCTTGGAAGCCTAGTGAAACCACTCAAAATGGATTATAAAATCAGGGTCGAACTCTGAAAATTTACCAGAGGGTTTACAAGTGTATTTTCTTTGACTCACATCAACATATATAGTTGGCTTTCTGGATGTTCCAAAAATCTGCTTCCAGTCATAGCTATAGCCAACTGAGTCAACTGCCTGGCCTTCCGACAACTTTGGAGGTGCCATGCCAACGCCTCTGACAGATCCCGAGCCGAGCACTGCACTCGCTCGGGGATGCAACTTGCGTCGCATATATCAGGACTCATGGAAAAGGATTGCAACCATATTATGTAAGCCTTCATATTTCCATTAAACTATGTATATAATTGTGTATGTATGTATGTATGTATGTATACCTTGCAAACCGATATCCTGGAAAAAAGTGGGATCTGACATCAAACTCGTGTTCTGACCAAGTATGGAACCAATAGTCGGGTTTTGGTTAGTAAAACCGGGTTTTGGAACCATATCCTACTTCCTCCAGCCTGGACTCCAGCCTATATGGGCATCTCAAGCAGCTGCCCTCTTTTGCCCGGCCGTGTGCTGCAGTCGCCACAATGCCAAACTCTCAGATTGGGCTCCTGTGAGGGGTGGCAGAAATCACATCCATTTTTCTTCTTGAGATTATGTGGGGCATGCATAAAAGCTGCTTTGGTTCAATAGCTTTGGCCCTGAAACGTGTGTTGTCACCAATGGGTCTGGAATTTGATCCAGCTGGCTTGGGTGTTGAGTGGGAGGGCTTGCAAGCCATCCGTGAGAGTTTGAGGAATGGCGAGCCTTTGGTCAAATTGGGGAAGAACAAAAGCCCTGATTCCAACATTCAAGAGTGCACGGCAAACCAGGATCTTCTTCTTCCAGCCTTATCAAGGTTGTTTGTTACCAACCTTAAGTTGCCTAGTGTTCCACGTCTTCGACCAGAAATCGAAATCGTCTACAAAATGTGCCAACGCCAAGTTGACGAGGATAAGACCGATGACGACGCATGGGACATTAGAAAAATGTTGAGGTTTGTGAAGCGCAAGGCATCAAGAGAGGATCCCAGCCTTGAATCTTGAATGAAAATTAGAAGCCAAATTAGATTGTTAGTGGTGCCATTTTTTAAAAAACCTATATAATTTTGTTGTACATTTTTTTCACATGGCCAGCTCTTTCTCAGCTTGCCCAGGACGTTGACTTTCAGGAAATGGTGCTGGTTCTCAGACCCGAACTTGAGGCCTAGTTCAGCCATATTCCTCCTTGTTTTTTTATTTGGTTTCCCCCTACCCCAAAGATCTCAAAGTTGAAGGGGCTAAACTGGTGAATGCAAAGAACAAACCCATAACATCCCATCCGTCACATCTCCCTTCAGGCGCAGGTGGCCGAACTTCGCAGAAAAGCAAAGTCAATGCCCATGGACCAGGATTGAAGGGTTCCCCAAAGTGGATTCTATCATTTTCCATCCAATCTACCCACAACAATGATATAATAAGATTCATTTCTTAGCCCATGTGGCGTTCGGTGTTCCAAAAATGTTTTGATATAGTTTAATGCTGTTGCAAATCCCCATGTCATCTTATGTCAAACCCGTTCAGGAGCCTGAGCATGAATCTTTGACTTCATCCGATGAATCCGATTCAGAATCTGATGTTGGGCATGAAGAGGAACGGGAACCAGTGACTGAATCTTCAGGGGCATCTGCTGTTCGTCCCATGACTTCGGGGGATGTTTCTGGTGCCAGCGCACCAGTTGAACCAGCTCCCAAGCCCGTGCTCGCTCCTGTGCCAGCTCCTTTGCCAGCTGCAGAAAGCAAGCCATCGCCTGCAGAGGTTGTGGCAAAGGCCAAGCCCGATGGAGGCGACTAGCCAGGTTGAAATTGGGCTCCATGGGGAAATGGGGGGATATGTTTAACACATGTTTCTGAAATCTTAACTTTAATTTGCTCCATGTATAACATCCACCACCAACAGCCCACAGCCCACAGGTGATCATGAGGCTGCAGCACTCTTGCGAAAGCATCTCTTAATGAAGGAATTGGCTGAGAAGAAGGCTAGACTTCTAGAGACATTTGGATTCGCTTAGATTAAGAAATTTTGGGATGGTGGGAATTATATTTATATGGGTTTCTTTTATCACTGGTCAGGTTTAGGAGAAAACCAAAACTTGCCATCACTATGACGCTCAGGATGGAAGCCATGAAGAAGGTGTCAGTCAAGCGTAACCTCAGCAAGTCCTTCGATGCCGTTGCTGACAAACCAGGACTATTAAATTAGATGGTGAAAAGTTTCACTGTTTTGAGCTTTGAAAGCCCACATTACGGTAAACTATTCCAAATTTGGATGCTGGAATCCCTGAAGTTCCCATGATCCAACTAATCCACAATCCAAAACATGTTCCAGGACCTGAGAACATTGACACAGTGGATACCTTGCCTATGGATGTTGAGTCATTGCCAACACCACCTTCTGTGCCAGCCAAACCCGCATCCTTTGATGACAGCGACACCCGACGCCAGAAGTTCCAGGGTCTTCCTAAGGTTGGGGCCACCACCAAAGTCTTGGGGGATCCTTCCGATGGCCTGGATGATTCGGCTCTTCTGGGTGAAGCTTCCAAAGAGCTCGGCAACAATGAGGTCCTTCGAGTGAAACAACCCCAAAAACCATGGTTGAGTTTTCCAATGATGATCCAGGGTGTTGGGGACAATAATAAGTTTAACCTAAAGTCCATGCCATCCGTCCAGTCCCTCAGGCATTTGTGAGTCGAAGAGACCAGCTTGCAATGAAGCCAGGCAGAGGCCGTGGCCGTGGCCGCGGCAGGGGTCGTGGCAATGTGGGCCCTAAGGATGATGATCAGCCCATGATGACTGATGCTGAAATCTGGGAAGAGTATGAAAAATGGAGATCAGAATGCCATGTCACTGATGACCATCCGAGTGAACCTCTCCCAGCTTCATCATCGGTTGCACCATGCAAGGATGATTCCAATGGTCGCAAGTACAAGAAAGGTACCAAGAAGGATCCAGCAAAGGTCAAGTCAGAGAAGAAAACCAAAACGAATCCCAAGGACTTGAAGAATGCGGAGAAGCCCACCAAGAAGGTGAGGAAGCCCGGCAAGAGGACCACCAAGACCAAGAAATCCAAGGGCAAAGGTGGGGACACTTGTGGCTTGCAGATGGAAATGACTGCTGAGGAGAACGGGTTCTTTGAACAGAGTTTGACTCGAGCCATGAAGTTTGTGAAAAAGATTCCCTATGATGATCTCCATCTGGAAGCCCTCAAGACCACCATCAAAGACAATTACCCGCCCCTGTCATGTACCAGTGTCATGAACTACTGGAACCGACCGGCTTCCACTGTCCGGGTGAAGGTTGGTCGTGAGTGGAAGGCTGTTGGGTACTTTGGTGGTTTGGATCGCAGCAACGAGTGGGGCTTCTCACGAAACTACATTGTGACCCTCACTGTTGGGATTGCTTTGCAGTTGGTTCCTCGTCAAAACTCATGTGTCATCATCTGTTCATTTCTGTTTATAAAATAAACTTGTCATAAGGTTGAATGATAACTAAAGAGAATCTGCCCTGGTGAATTTCCAGCCTGTTAGCCTATGTGCCCCAGGCTCGTTTCCTTGAGAATGCCGATGGCAACATGGAGAGCTCCGCGATCAACCGTCGTGAGCACATTTTGAAGCTGTGTGCTGTCGAAGTGATGTCTCGTCAGGGGTCATCTTTGTCGCCGAAGTCAGTTTGAAATCTTATCATATATGGGTTTTTGGGAATCTGCTGATTTCCAATGGGTTTGGAGGCATGCGAAATGACAACATTTCACTTTTCTGTCTCCTGTCAAGCCTGAACATGGGCATGTGATTAATCAACACTCAACATCGATGTTGCTCGTGGATTATATGATTTTCAGCCATTTGATTTTGAATTGCCCGTGAAGTGGCTTGACCACATCATCGGTCCTTGCGATCTTCAGTCTGGAAGCTGCTTTAGTTAGCCTGGCAGCGTCTCCGCTCGATCGACGTTAGGGAATGAAAACCAAAGCATGATGCTCATGTTTCTTCCTCCTTTCAGTTGAATCTGCATTCTGGGATACCCCCAAATTGATTTGAATGATGAGGTTTCCTATTGGGTCCTATTGGGATCTATTGGATGTGACCTGGCCCCAGAACTCAATCCTTTATCCTTTCCTCTTGAACCCCGATCTCTGAGGTGATGGCCAATGGCAGAGCAAGGCGGGTCAAGCGACGCATTGCCAAGCAAAAGCGCCATCCTGACTCGTTTGATTTCTTGAGTTTTGGGAGTTTATTGGGATCCATGTCACAAAAATCAGAACGCAGCAATTCTTACCCCCAGCAGTGTGGCTCAAAGGGCTCAAAGGGCTCAAAGGGATTCCTAGTCTAAAAGGAATCCATGGATTCCAGCTCCAATTACTTCCGCAATGAAATGGATTTGGATGCCACTTTGTGGGCCCTTCTAATGTTGGGGGCGCCGACTGATTCTTATTTCAATTAACAAAGTGATGCCCTTGTGGGTCCATGGTGAAGTTTTGGAATGTTTCCTTTTTTGATTTCCATGCATGCACCACGCAATTTGTCTAAGGACTTTCTTCTCATGGTGGTGTTAGTCTATCACACATATGGCCTCTACAATTTGGAGGAGGAGAATTTGGAAAAAAAAACGGGTATCCCAATCCCAACTCAATTTACCATCATGCCCCCTGCAGGAGTTCCAGTGGCTAGAATTCTTCGCAGGCACTGCAAATTGCACTCGCTCAATGCGAAGGGCTGGATACTTGGGGGCAAAATTCGATATCATGTACTGCGAAGCTGACAAGCAGAAACGCCGTGGTCGGAAGACGAATTGGATGGATTTGTTGACCCCAAGTGGCTTTGCGTTACATGGTTGCACATACTACATGTAATATATTTTATAAATGATATTGATGTGAGACCTTCAACAAGCCTTGAACCACTTTGTTTGCCAGCCTTCTGCTTCCAGACTGAACCAACTAAGTTTAGCCATTGTCTTCATCTTGAAGGGGCGGGGCAAAGACTTGCTGAGCTGGTTCGCGCTCAAGTGCAGTTCCTTTGTTGCTATCAATGCTGGTACATCCAAGCGAAGCAAATGCAACAGTATCGGATTGCCTTGCTTGTCAGTAGATACCTCCAACACACTTCTCGAGAGGACCTTCCAGTGCTAATTTTCCACTTGGGTTTGGTCCCCAAAAAAGGCCCCCACAAGTCCCCATAAAATGTAGGGAAAACACTGTTTTTGGGGGACTTGTGGGGGCCTTTTTTGGTGAACCAACCTAAGTGGAAATTTACAACCTTCCAGTATGGTTCATTGTTGGATTCAGTCACAAATTAGGAAATGTTGGAAGGATTGGAGCATAATATCGATATACCTCTAGGGCACCAAATTTAAAAATAAGTCCTTGCACCCTTTGTTGGCACCACGCTAATTTCCCCAAATTAAGCGGGTTTAATTTCAGCCCTGGCCAGGACAATCTGCCTATGCATGCTGGTGACAGCCCGGGAAGGGGTTTGGGTGTTGGAGCAGCCTGGATCTTCGGTCCAAGAATATTACCCAGCATGGATTCATTTCCTGAACTACTTGTACCAATTCTATGGTATGAATTCGGTAGGGTGCTTAGATTTGGATTGAAGCTTTTGGTCACAATTCACTCGAAAATTGGAAAGCAATTCCAAAACCAATGAAATCCCCCTTTGGTTGATGGTCTGTGAGGTCCGCAGAGTTTCTTGGTGGATGAACCGCTACGGTGCCGGCAGCCCGAAACGCCAGTATGCATGGTCAAATTCACCAGCTATTCTTCGACTTGATCTAGGGTGGAAGAGGTTGAAGACCCGTGTCAAGACAACAATTCAATATGTTGATCAACATGGCAAAAAACGCTACCATGGTTCCAAAGACTTGAAGTCCACGGAGATCCTCGACTTCAAAGAAAATACTTCATACTTCACACTTTATTTTGTTTAATTAATTCCGGTTCAGAATCGCACTTCTAGTGATGACTTGCTAAGGACATACCCAGCTCCATTTGGTGATGCTGTCCTTTCCCTCCGACAAGCTTTGATTGATGGTCGTGAACACCACCTCTACCCAATGTCAATGCCGTCAGGTGTCGAGACAGTTCGGCAGGCCATGGCTGCAAATAGTGGCGGTGGCCTGTTCGAGGCTGCTAAGCTGGTTGAGGCTGTTACCTATTTGAGATCGGGAACCCACCTGCAGTTGCCAGCCCATTGGAGGGAAATCCCATGGCCAGGTCACAACCAGATCTAATGGGCCAACATGATTTTCACTGGGACCGAGTCGAACCAGTGGGTTTAAAATGGAACAAACGACTGCAAATAACATTTTCTATCGATTTTTGACAGAAAAAAGTAAGGAAATGTCGTAAAATCCCATATATACCCGTATATATCCCATAAATATCCCGTGCGAACCCGTAATCATACCGTACACATCCCATATTGTGGCAAAACCAGGTTTTCGGGAACCCGTACGCAACCCGTACGCATCCCATATTTACCCATACATATCCCATAATTACCCGTTCGCAAAAACAGGGATATCCCAACTTTTTTAGATCCCACTTTTGGGCCGACTCGGAAAGCAAATCAACGCGGTTTGACCCGTGTTTTAGTTTAAATTCTATGCATTTGTCACTTTTGTCGGTTGTCGACTCGACCCGAAGCAGAAAGAAAAAAACACAGTCCGAGTTCAATTGGAATTTCCGAGTAAATCAATATCACGTCAGCGCTTAATTGACATGGGGCCCATGATTGATCCATTCGAGGCATTTCAAAGCTCAACTGGTAGACTGATAGGATCAGCTGATGTCGAAACGGTGGTCTTGCTCTACTTTGGGTGCAGGGTTTCAGGAAGTCATGGATGAAGCGCTTCAACAAGAGCATGACCTTCTGACCCAACAAGTCAAGGACATTCTTGGTTGAAATAAATCAAAGCCTCTAGCAGTCAAAAAAATAATTTTCCCATTCATCTTACTCCAACTTCTTGCAGGACATCGAGGATGAACTGAAGAAGCTCAACACGGAAGCTGAACCAGATGCCAAGGCCTCCAACATAGTATGTTCTTTCCATCAGACCTCAGCCACCGGGCATGTTGGAGGCTGGATCTACTCCTACGACCGTAGCTCCCGACAGTTCCGAGGCTGGACAGTTGGCAGGGTGACCATCCAAATTATCTATCTCTTGAGGGCTTGGATCGGTTTATCATTTCTAAATTGCCCATGGCCCATCATATATGATCCAAAGTTAGGCCACTGTTTGATTTACGCACGTGTTGGAGGCAGCTTCTTCATTGACTCCCTCTGATCATGGCCAGTCCGTGGCTGAAGCTGATGGTGGGGAACCTGATGTTGGTGATCAGGAAACCATCATTGATGATGGTTACGAAAATCATTCGGACCCTTGCCATACCATGCACGTAACTTCAGTTGATTCCATTGATGTCAGTATTTGTGACTGATTTCCTTTACAAATTGTTCTAAACTTGATATGATCTATCCCAAGGACATCGAAGTGAATGAGCTCTCTGTCCAGCTAGCTTTGGCCCTTAGTGCTAACGTTGACCCCGATGTGAAACCCAAAATGGAGCATGAAGACACCACCAGCACGTTGGCTGAGCCCGTGACCAATGAAGATCTTGATGGTGATGACCCGGAGACCTCAGAAGCAGTTGCTGGTGCTAAGAAATCAAAACGGATTTTGACCCGTCGAGATCTTTGCAAGCATTCATTCTGTGTTTGTATGTTTTTTTGTTTTGTTTACACTATTCTTCGAGAATTGAAACAGGCCATAAATCTGTTGCAACCACTTAAAGCCCATCATCCAAATTACTGCTTTGCCCAGGAGAAACTGATCCTGGCCGCCAAGGCCAGGATCAGACGCATGGTTCAAGCCAAGAAGAAAAGAACTGATTTGGCCACCCCAGATTGGTTGAAGCAGGAATGGGAGAAAGGGACTGAGCAAAAGGATTTGATGGCAGACACCTTGCTATCGCTGAACTGGGACAAGGCTTGGGAAACCTATACATGGGGATGTCTCAAAATAGGGGGGCCCCAAAGCTAAATTCTAAATACAAAAAAGCAAGGGTTTGGGGCCCCCTATTTTGAGACTAATTATATCGCAAATCATGTTGACAGTCTTTACAGCTTTTGCTTTATCTTATACTCATAGTTCACATGCTCACACCACTCTCCCAGGCTGGATTCATCAATGAAATGGAGAAGATCATCACTTCCCGTAAGCGTGTCACCGTGAAACGTGAAGTTGGTTGGTATAGCGAAGCTGAAATGAAGACAGATTTGGCTTGGTCTCAGTAGCTTCGGTGCATTTAGAATTTTACTGGAAACCTGCATGATGTGTGATACCAAGAAAATTGATTGATACTGACATTGAAATTATTCCTCGCCGTTCAGGTCGAAGATAGCTGGTGCAAAGAGTTTTTGCACTGACCCATCCCGGATTGCCACGCACTGCCGGCAAGGGGCCTAGCTCCAGACAGCCAGCTGTCATCAGTCGCTCAGTCACCTGCAGTCAAGGAAAAACCTGTATGACAAGCAGATGGAATACTGGATCACTGTGCGGGAGAGTGGAGCTTATGAAGAAGAACATGAAGTTCTTCAGAAACAGCACACACGTTCCAAGGTCAGAGTGCTGATCAATGCTGATCATTCCATTTGTATACTAGTGAGATAGTAAGCTCGCTCATTTATAAAGGAAAAGCATCACACACTGAATGACAGCAACATTTTGGTAACTGCTTCAACGCAGGCTGAGGGGAAGGTCGAGATTGAGGACGGCACCTTTTCCAATGTGCAGGCTCTGATGGATCGCGAGAAGTCTCTGGCAAAACCTGCCGAAGATGCCAGGGATGATGGAAAGGTAAATGAGGTGGGAAGTTGTTCCATTCCATTGCTGTCATATGATGCCTGGTGTTTGAAGTCTTGAACTTGAGCTAATTCATATGGCAACCCATTTCATTCCATGAAATTGCCTGGGCAGAACAAACTGCTTTTTAAGCGGTTCATGGAGTCCATTTTGGCAAAGACCACCAAGCTCAAAAGTTTGAAGAAGGACTTGCAGGACACATACACAGCTGAGGCTATCAAATCATAACTATGGCCAAATAGATTGAAGAATTGGATGTTCAAAGCTTGTGAGTTCTACTGGGTCCCTGGTCTCCATTACATTCATGACCGTGCTGCCCAGGTATGTTCAGCAGTTGGATCAGCACATCGTTTTGCTGGACAAGGAATATGATACCCTCAATGAAGAGCTTGCCAAGGGTGAAACTTCATCCTTTGATGCGAAGCCCTTTCCTTGGAATTTTCTACTGTCATTGACAATGTTAAGTATTTGGCATTTCTGGGGTGATATTCTTTTAGGTGGTGGGGAGCCGCCCACATCGCCATGAACAAGAGTACTTTCGTGCTTGGCGCTTGGTCTGGAGTTGCACATATTTAGTGATTGTAGTTGGTGTTTCTCAAATAGGGTTCCCAAACCTTCCTAAAATGACAATTTTGCGGGAAGGAAGATGGTCATTTTTGGGGTCCCCTAGTTGAAGAAACAGCCATGATGGTTACCAGTCTCTTGAGCGCTCTCTAGATTCGAATGACCCTTATTTTCAAATCACCTGCCTGTCCCAGGTCCAGTCGGGCTACAGCTGCTGAGCAGAAGGTCAAGCTTCAGCCTCAGAACAGAAATCGATCAGCTTAAGCAAAAACATCCAATCCTACAAATGAGGAAATCGAAGCAGTTCTTGGAGAAGAAGGGTGGTGGTTCGGAGCCTTCCATGCCAAGTAAGCCTACGAAGAAAGAGAAGAAACATGGGAAGAAGAATAAGAAGGAGACCGATACGGTTGATGAACCCCCCAAGAAGAAACACAAGAAAGACAAGAAAGACAAGAAGTGATCTAGCTTTAGCAGCTTGATGTTCAAGTGAAGTGGTATTTTCTGAAAGCAGCTGATCGTTGCTGATCTTTGCAGGGGGCCGTTGGTTATGATTCACAACGTAAAAATCTGAAGTACGAAACATCAACAACACACTGTTCATTTAAGTGCTTCACTGTTTGAAGCGGCCCTCAGCTTCGGACCGGCCGTGGGGACTTTAGTCGGTGGCCTCAACAGCAGCGTCAACTTTTGTTGCTGAGCGATGGCCATTGAATGAAATTATATTTCATGAGAGATGGGGCAATTCTGCAAGGAACATGATCGCGTGCAGGAGACTGGCAAAATGTTAGCAGCATTTGCGCATCCAAATGTTAAAGCCAATCTTGATTCAATCCTGGTCCTCTCTACGTCTCTTGAGATTCCAAATCCCGTTTCCCAACACATGTTGCCCACCCATTCAAATGATCTCGTGCCAGGTGCTGGCCCTGGCCTCCGGTGTTTGATCAAAGAGGTTTCCAATGGGGTTGAGACCTCAGCATGGCACAAGTGATTCGGAATGGCTGGCAGGCATTGTGGTTTATACCTTGTATAAGTTTTAAAAAATCAGATGCCTCAACAATCACACATTGATTTGGTACTTTAAGATATCTTCAATTTCAACAATGATAAATCATATTATATGTGGTGTTGCATTAAGGTGGCATGCGCTTCAGCTATCCGCACTGCCCGGGCTATGGTGGAAGAAGTTCCCGCTGTAGGGAGCAGCAGCGTTGGTGCTTTAGCTCGGTGCAGTGAAAACCATAGTGAACGTGATGTCCAACAAGTTTCAACAGACTACAAGCTGAAGTTGCCAATCCCAATGAGTCCAATCAAGATTGGGAACCATTTCATCAGTTTCTTGTGCATGACTGATTGGGCCACGTTTATTTTGGAACAAAACCTATGGCACAGATTGTGCGGGCTCCGTGAAGCTGACCATAAACGCTGTAGTTCAATTTGGAAGTGCTTTTGGAAAAGGTATCAAAAGGTGAATCCTGATCATGAAATCTTTCAGCGACCTGGCCATGATTTTTCCAGAACTTGTGCATTGATGCTTCATGGCGATGAAGGAAGATCACTTCGAAAGGCCCCCTTGATGGTGATCGCAGCTCACTCTATCCTAGGGTATGGTATTTCCACATCCCCTGCAGACCGGAAAAAAATGTATAGAACACAAAAACTGAACTATGAAGAGCCTACATGGTCAACCCGGTTCCTCTTGGCTGTGCTCCCAAAGGAATACTACAACGAAGAGAATTCCAGCATTTCGGATTCTGATCCTTTTCAAGATTTGATGGCCGGAATTTGCGGGGATCTGAGAAGTCTATATGACGAGGGCATTGATACTCCCAATGGTCGCTTTTATTTCTGTACAATCAGTGTCATGGGCGATTGGCCCTTCTTGCAAAAAGCAGGAAATTTGGGACGGACATTTATGAACATCTCCAAGGCTTCTGAATCCAAATCTGCTCCTAAGGGCATCTGTCATCACTGCAGAGCAGATATGCCCAATGTTCCATGGACAGATTTCGACACTCATCCCCCAACATGGCTACATACTGTGAACACAGAGAGTGCTTTTCTGGAACCTCCTGCAGTGCTCCAACTTCCAAAGAACCCTGGATTTCCTGAGTCGCTTCTAGTGTGGGATTTGTTTCATGCATGGCACATTGGGGCTGGCAAAACATTCTTGGCTTCCGCGCTTTTTGTGTTGATTTCGAGCCCAGCTTATGAGGGATCAGTGGACCTCAGGTGCGAACAGGTGACACAGGACTATGTGCAATGGTCTCAGCGCACTGGCTATAGATGTCAGCTCCGTCGGATTACCAAAGCTAAGTTGGGTGGGCTCTCAACAACCAGTTTCCCCATTGGTGCATGGAGCAAAGGAAGCACAACCACTTGCTTGACCAAATTTTTTTTGGACGCATGTTCCAAATATCAACAGCATGTGGACAGCGATGTCCTTTTCAAATTGGCACAACGAGCAGCCCTACGGATTGATCAGTTTCTCCAGGGGATCTATTCCCACGAGGTTTGGATACCTAGTGAGGAGGCAAAGCCTTTGATTTCGGCAGGATTTGCATTCCTTCAATTCTATGGAGTTGCAGTCAAGGTTGCATACCAAAGGGGGCTCTTACTTTTTCAATTGATGGCGAATTTCCACCGGATTCATCACGTGCTATACGAGATGCATGTCCAAGCAACTGAAAACGAATGGGTTTTAAATCCATTACATTGCGCAACGCAAGCCGATGAAGATTTCATCGGAAGACCCTCTAGAATTTCGAGGAGGGTGTCACCACGTTTGACAATTCAGCGCACTTTGGAGCGGAGCCTCCAAGCCGCGTACGCACATTATGTGCAGGTTGGTGCACTGATCTTGGATAGAGATTGAGGGGGCATTTTTTTATGAAATTTAAAGACTTCACCAAAAAAAACAGATTCCAAAAAGCCAACTCCGGGATCAAATCTGAGACTCAGGCAGGATTGAGTGAACCAGCAGGATGTTGGGAGCCGTAGCGGCTGTGGCGATCGAGTAAAACCGGGTTCTGCATCTGACACTCGGGACATCTGTGATATCCTTGAAATTTCGATGTTTCTGGTTTAGATGGTATATATATATAATTATATTAAACCAACATGATGCTTTGTCCAGTGTGTGATTCCTTTTCGAAATCTATCCGCTAAACATGGGGGTCATTTGGGACCATCATCGACAAAGAAATGGGACCAAAATACGTGGGACTTCACCCCCTTTTTACTGGGTATGGATTATCGATTAGTTGGTATAACAGTTCAATACGTTTGCTGAAGTCCAATTTTTTGTGACTGCCAAGCAAATGTATGGATTCCATAAATAATATTGTTATATCCCCATGAATCTGCCCATTCCATAAAAAATCGTGTGTAGACCCCCCTGCTTGTGAAGTCATCCTGAAATGTGGCTCAGACAACATCGATGGTTGGCCAGTTATCCCAATTTCTGCTGGCTAAATTCCCTGCGTTTCTTCCCATTTTGGTTGATCAAACCCCAAGTTCTCCCAAGGTTTGGAGCACCGTATACTTGGGGTATAGTTAAACATGCTCCCTGCAAACCCCAAGTTCGCCAGTTCGCCCAAATAGCCCAAATAACACACCCAGAGAAATCAGACAATCTTATCAATCTTGTATACCAGAGGATTTTTATGAAAACACTGGCTTTTTTCGCAGGGATCCCTTTGGGCTGTGGGATGCAGGCTTTTAGGCTTTGCTGTTTTGGAATGTTCAAAAACACAGGATATCAAAGGAGAATTCTCCGGAAACAGCTCCAAAAACCTGGGCAAACTGATGCTTTGCAACATGGAGATGCAGCTGAAAAAAAACGGCTCCAACCAACCTCTTGGATCGCCAAGCGGAAACGACAAAAAACGCGATTTTTTCACAAGGGGTTTAAGTGGCTTGGGCCTGGCCAAATGCATCCGCATCCATCACGATCCGATCCGTGTTATGCTGTGCTTTTCGAATGCGTGCGGATGTTGTTTTTAGGTGGGACATATGAAATCTGCATCACTTTCTGAAACATTCTGAAAGATGTTTCAACAAAATTCAGATGGGCGGGATGATCTGGAAATATCTGGAAGTCCTTCAGTGAATCCACTGGTGCTGGGTTTCTGTCGGATTTTTTTTCTCCCCACTGCGGTGTTTCTCTGGGAAAATCAACGTTGCTTCAACGCTTGTGGGGAGGGAAATTTGCTTATTCAGTTGGTGTCGAATGCAGTTGCTCAAGTCATATTTATATACATATGTCTTGAATAGACGCTGCTCCATAGGTCCCATTTGACACAAATCCACCTGTCCATTGTGCTGTGATCCATGTCCTAACTTCATGCGTAATGTCGTCGTGCCTTTTGGCTGGCTGCAATGCAACGCTTCGTTGTCGTGGCATCACACGTGGCCGTGGCACTCTGTACTTGTGTACTGTTTCTCCCTTAGGATTCGTTCATCGCTCAATGTCCTTGCGGGGAGAAACCTCAAGTCTTAAGTGCCAATGTTTTTTGAGTTTCCCTTGCGGAGGACTGAAACGTTGAAAATTTTGGTGATGCATTTCCATGGTAAATCCATGGTCAATCCCGGATCGCCTTCCCAAAATCACCCATGGACCAACCATTGGAAATATCATAAAATCCTAAGTCTTGCTGGGGCCCCCTATGTCGATCCGGTTGATCAGTCTTATCCCATATTATCCCATACTATCCCCAATTTTCACTGTTCTCGACCCCCATACGCAGGCTAAAAGCTGATCCTTCCCACTTTCTTTTCGTCATTTCCTCCAACGTCTTGGCATCGCAGTGGGACACACCCAGATCAGAGCCCGGCATCTTGTGGCCGCGAGCCCCGCTGCGGGATGCTGCGGGAACACGTGGACTGCGACCTTCCCAGAAGGCAGTCAAACACAAAGAACCTTGGCGACTAAGTCTCCATTGAGGTTATGTATATATATATATACATATAACGCCACAACCAACCCTTAAGTTGTATTTCAGTTCTGTTGATTGAGTCTGATAATGATGCAAATGTGCTGAATATTGCTGAATGTTGACATCTTAAGTAGACAGTAATCTGAGAGTCTGAGGGGATAGTCTCTCCGCTCCACAGTCGATGTAAATTAGACAAACACATGGATCTAAGTTCCTCAATGCTGCCCAGTCCTATCATATCTGTTATTCATTGGATTGGTTTAAGGGAAAATCGACAGGAAATCATGGTTTTTACCATCAAATATAGGGCTTTCCTGTAAATTTTCCCATCATCCAATTCTATGAGTTATAGTATTGCCAGTGAATAGCATGCTTTTTATGAGATGGTCTTACAACGGCCATGCTCACCTGTTTCCAGTGCCGCCAAAAGCTGCCAGAATGTCGCGGAAGAACTGAAAGAATTCCAACCAATGTGGTTCTTTGGAAACAAGATTTTTGAGGGTGTCATGCGGTGTCCTGAATATTTCTTTGAAATACCTTTCAAATAAAATATGATAAAGTCAAAGACTCTGAACTTGCTATAGTTCTAGTAAATTGTTTTGAGTATGTTGAACCATCCCCGCCCATCACCTCCCAATACCACCATCAGGCACCAGGATTCACAAAACATAAAATACCTTTCAAATTCACATCCTCCCATTTTTTTCGGGCCCATCATGGTGAAAATGCTGAAACTCAGAATCAGAATCATGGTGGCCAACAGTAACTTTAGCCCCTGCCATGGCCACCATGGCCACCATGGCCACCTCGCGAAATCGCGCTACTCAAAGCTCCTCCTTCGCGGAGAACGCTGAGAAGATCTCCAAAATCTTCAGCTTCTCCTCCAGCTCCGCCTGGAAGATCCGTGGCAAACGACTCGCCAAGTCGCCCATCCCAAGCCATCACAATATAGAAAAATCATATGAAAAATCATGAAAAATCATGAAAAATCATGAAAAATGACCACGAAATCGAAAGTGTACCAGATTTTGTGAATAGCACGCCCAGTGGTGAGATATCAAGTTCAATAACGGTACATTACGTGTTTACGATCGTTGCTGAAACATAAAGTTGTCTTGCTAACAAGCAGTGACAAGGGGTATAAAAAAACAACAAGAAAAGAAGAACTATGGGTTCTGGGTCAAAACTATAGTAGGTACCCTCTGGTAAACTAACATAGCTATGGAAAATCACCATGCTATTAATGGGAAAATCCACTATCAATGGCCATTTTCAATAGCTATTTTGATATAACCAGAGGGTACCAAAAAAAGCTATGTTGAATCCATCCCATGGGTCTGAAAAAAAAATCACCCATAGCTATGTCATGCAAAACGATCGTCTGATGGTGTCCCTGGGGTGTTCCTGGATTGTTGAATCCATGTCTGCTAACCACCAATAGTCCCATACGAGTTATTTATCATTCGTATCTAACTGGGGCAACTGTTGGATTTATGGTTTATATCATTTATATATATCATTAATATGTAGTCTGTTATTGGATGTTATTAGATTTATTGCCAATTGAGTAACAAAAACGAACGGACATCGATTGTTAAAATTGCTGGGGCAGCAACCGCTTATCCCATCATATCCCCATGGTTGGCCCGATCACGTTGCTGGTGATTTCTTCGTTCAAAGGCCGTAAATCCCCATGGTTGATAGCTGATATCTTCCATTTTTTCCGCATGGTTCTTGATGAAAAATACACCCAAATTCTTGGTTGAATCACCACAAACAACCATCTATGGGGAACTATCCCACTATATCTCAACTATAATATATATATATAATTATATATATATATATCCACAACATGGTTTGTTTCTTATGCACCATTCCAACTTTGGCCGGTTAAGTCACGTCACCATTTGAGCCTTCAAATGGGCTACCCCCAGGGACGGTTTATCATCAGTTTCCCTAATAACATAGCCATCTTATTAGCGTATCCTCCATTTTCAGACAGACCCACATTACAATATATGCCCACAATAGGCTTGTGTTATTTCCAAAATTGCAGTTATATAAATCCTATAGCCTATATCATCTATATCCCATACTAGGGTTCAAAAATCAGACAACATATCCCCTGCTGCAATTCGTCATCACCACCTTTGGGAACATTACCCTCTGGTAAACGTTTACATAACTATGGAAAAATCACCATTTTCAACGAGTAAATCCACTATCAATGGCCATGTTCAATAGCTATATTAAATTGCCAAAGGGTATCCCCAATCTATTTGATCCTATATAATAATTGGCTTATCATTTATACATCTCCCCATAATTTAGTAGAGTGCATCAAAACTCATCATCACCATTTATGGGGGAACATTACCCTCTGGTAAACGTTTACATAACTATGGAAAAATCACCATGCTATTAATGGGAAAACTCACTATGAATGGCCATTTTCAATAGCCATTTTGACATCACCAGCATGCTATCAATGGGTAAATCCACTATAAATGGCCATGTTCAATAGCTATGTTAGTCATTACCAGAGGCTAATTCCCTTGGAAAACCCATGGTTTCTGGGTAAATCCACCACCGATGGCTGGCCATGGCTGGCCATCCCCACCTTCTTCTCCGCCGCCAGCGAGACGCCTGAGATCTTCCCCACGCGTTCCACTTCCGCCGCCACGTAGCCCTGAGTGCTCCGCGTTGCGGGGCCTTTTTGGAAGTTTCCCTGGATTTTTTTCCCACGGAAATGTCCATAAAGTGCGGGAAGTTCACTTTTTGGAATGTTTGAATACCAGTTGTTTTTTGATGATGCCATCTGATTTGATGATATGTGATTCAAAATCTCATGATTTGATGATGATTTGAATTTTGCGTCGATGTCAAAATGCCATCAAATAGCCCCAAATAAAAATCATGTGTTTGAATGATTTGATGATGAATGTATGGCATTCTTGCGGCCTGTTTGACGTAAACAACATGATGATCAACATTGATAAACCATATTGCCATATCATTTACGGGGTTTCCAGATCCGATTTATGGGGCTTTGAAGCCAAGAGAGTTCAACCTCGGCCAACTTACAGGGAGATCCCGACTGGGTTAAAAAAAATCGCGGGATGGCGCCATATCTACACATAACTGGATCTCTTCAACGAATTGCAAGAATTATTGTCAACATGTGTCAACCAAGGTATCACAGAAAAATAGAACCAATTCGGACCTAAACACATCTCCGTGTTGATGGGCCTCACCCTTCTCCTTGATCTTCTGCATGATTTTGATGTAGATGGCCGCCTGAGATGGCACGGAAAAGTCGTCATAGTCATCTATAAAAAAAGATTCCGAGCAGTGAAGCATGTGAAGCTGTAGCACTGTAGCAGCTGGGCTTGAGATGTGCCATGCACTGCCCTCAGGGCCACACTTTTTTGTCCGGAATGTCTTCAGCCACCTTCCTGGCTTCTTCGAGGACTGCATCTGCTGCCCCTTCCTGGCCACAATTGGCCACATGGCTTGGGTGGAAGCCTCTGAATCCAATAGTGCGGCAAGGAGTGGCCACCCTCTGGTAATGACTAACATAGCTATTATGCGACATAGAAGCCATGGCCATTGAAATAGTGGTCATTTTCCCATGAAAATAGCACACCGAATCACGAGAGACTTTTTCAGCCCCTTTTGGTGCCAGCACGGCTTTGAAAAAGTGGAACCGGTCAATTGATCGACAAAAAAAAAGCCGTTCCTTGATGAACTTCTGAGCCAACTGGTCCAATTCATCGATGGTTCCAAGCGAAGGAATCGGAATCTTCTGCCTCTGCGGGAATCTCATGCCATAGCGTGGGAGTACCATACCAATAAAGGATGATACAGGATGATATACCAGTATACTAGTGGACTAAAATACCAGACCATGATAGACCACGCACTAATGAATCAATAGAAAATCCCATACCAGACTTGAAGATCGTGAAGATATCAACAAAAAAAACATCATTCGCTGGTCATCAAAACATACAGTAGACTCGTCACAATAATGTACCAATGCACCACTCGGCTGCGGTTCCAGCTGGGTAAGATTGGTAATTAAATCTATCCATAAAACATGAAATATGGTCCACTAAGTCACCAAGTCAGTCCCATAAGCAGGGAAAACCATGAAAAACCGGACCTAAACGGAAAGGACACCAACCTTAAATCCATTGGTTTTCATTGGTTTTTCATTGGTTTCACCACAAAATCTTCAATGTATGTCATTTCGCCATCACCATGCTGTCATTTTCGCCTCCGAAGCCATGTCACGAGGAGATCCTTGGCTGGGGATTTTACCCAAACAATGTGTCTAAAGTTCAGGGACTTCATCATGTCAATAATGTATCATCATGTATCATAATATGTCATAGGTCAGATAGTTTGGAGATGAGTTACGTGTAGTTTACTTCTTCAGAAAGTTCGAATGGGAGTTTAGGCAGCAAAGCGTTCTTTTCAGAGCTGATTTTTTGCGACAAAGATGATTTTTTTGTCAACGTCGCTTAAATCCATTCATGATGAGTTTTGCTATGAAAATTGCAGAAAACTTCTTGCCCATACCCAACTTGGAGTTGCAAAAAAAAGGGGCCATTGGCCAAGAATTTTTGTCCTTCCCATGGATCCCCCGGTCATGGTGGATCAACCCATGAGAAAATCCATGGCTTGCAAATCATCAGCAAATCCCTCCCCGGAGGATTCGAATGGATGATTTGATGGATGATATGCTGGATGATTTTTGCCATGGGATTTTCTCAACTATATTCATCAGCAAATCAGATATCCCAACTATATTCCAAGTGCTGGATGGTTTCCAAAGATCTATGTCTGATTCTGTCTCATTCTGCCTGAGACTTGACCAGCAATGCGATGGTGGATCAGTGGAACATTCCAATGGACATAGCCTCTGGTAATGACTAACAGTTTGCTATTGAAGCCATGGCCATTGAAATAGTGAGTTTTCCCATGAAAATAGCATGGCCGTTTACCAGGCCGGGTATCCCATTGATATCCCATTAATATCCCATTGAATCACTATAAAAATCCATTAAATCAGCTATAAATCCCATTAAATCAGCTGTAATATCCCATTGATATCCCACAGTTTTTTTCGGAAAATCAATCCGTTGACCAATTCCTGACCAAGCTACCGCCTTCACATTGCCAGTGTATCGCAGCCCAGCCGGTGAGGCCTGCTACGATATGCTACGATTGTGAAACAACCCCATCCGTGAAAAAAATCATCACCCGAAATGCCTATAAAAAGGTCCCAATGATGTGGAAATTCGGTCCCACGTTCACTTACGCCGAAATTTTTAAGGTCACTTACGCCGAAAATTACCCCCACACATTTTCGACATCACTTGCGCCGAAAAACCTCTGATTACCTGTAAATTTCCACGAAATTGCGCTTCCACGAAATGCAAAAAACGATCCTCAGAGCAAGATAAACCTCTCTCTTTCATGTTCCAGTGGGGTGGGGTGGGGTGGGTGGGGCGGGGGGGGTGGGGGGGGGTGGGGGGGGTGGGGTGGGGTGGGGTGGGATGATAACGTTCATGTTCCTATGCACACACAGGCACAGCAACCTCATCATCTTTCTTGCTGTTGAGAAGAGACAGGCACAGCTCTTTCATGATCAGTTACCGGTGGGGTGGGGTGAGTTAATAAGGTTCATGTTCCTATGCCTGCACACGCACAGCAACCTCATCATCTTTCTTGCTGTAGAGCACTTACACGCACTGCTCTTTCATGATCAGTTACCCGTGGGGTGGGGGGGGTGGGGTGGGGTGGGGTGGGATGATAACGTTCATGTTCCTATGCACACACAGGCACAGCAACCTCATCATCTTTCTTCCCATAGAGCAGAGACAGGCACAGCTCTTTCATGATCAGTTACCGGTGGGGTGGGGTGAGTTAATAAGGTTCATGTTCCTATGCATACAGACAGACGCACAGCAACCTCATCATCTCTCTTGCTGTAGAGCACTTACACGCACTGCTCTTTCATGATCAGTTGTTGAACTTGATGTAAGACGAGACACGACCCCTTTAGGGTTTATATGTTGTTGCACTTGATGTAAGAAGAGCCACGACCCCTTTAGGGTTTATATGTTGTTGCACTTGATGTAGGAAGAGCCACGACCCCTTTAGGGTTTATATGTTGTTGCACTAGATGTAAGAAGAGCCACGACCCCTTTAGGGTTTATATGTTCTTGAACTTGATGTAGAGGGAGAGCAACACCGTCGACGTGCAAGCACACAAGCGCAACTTTTATACGGAAATTTACAGGTAAAATACCGATGCCACTACACAGCCGCACAAACGACATCAAAAACAACAAGCGCAAAAGCGCCAATTTGTACACAAATTTACAGGTCAAAACCCGACGCCAAGAAAAAAGCGGCACAAGCGACGTCAAAAAAGCAACACGTCAAAACACCATTTTATACGGTAATTTACAGGAAAAAATCCCATACCACCAAAAAAGCGGCACAAGCGACACAAAAAAAAGCGGCACAAGCGACGCAAAAAAAAGCGGCACAAGCGAACGCCTCACCAAACCCTACTCAAACATGGCTTCGAGGGGGTGCTTAATATTAGGGGGAAGGGATTAATATGATTAATGGAAGGGGTTAATGACGTTTAATACGGGTAGCTGGGATAATAACTGGTTTGACAAATGACCAATGGTGGAGAAAATCCTCACAGTTGGATGAGTGAAAGTCAACCAGTAAACATAACATTTCAATGGCCCCACCGAAAATGTAGAAGTTTCTGCTAAACTAACAGTTTGATATTGAAAATGGCCCATTTGTAGTTGATTTACCTATTAATAGCATGGTGGATCTTTCCAGTTCGCTATGTAAACCTTTACCAAAGGATAAGTTTCTGATTCGCAATCGTAAAAGGCAAGCTATCTGAATTGGATCAGCCATCGATAATTAGCACATTTGGAAAGCGGAAGCGTGTCCATTTGGGCCTCGTTGATGAGAAAATAGGCGGGAAAGTCTTCTTTGGTCAACTTGAACCTGCCAGAGGAAGTGCCTCTTTGGTCGCCAGGTTCACACCCATGTTTTCAAGTAAACCACTTAAGTTCCAAATTCATAGTCTGACAATAGACTACCTATATACAAATCCCACAGCAATTCTCAGTCAGTACATATGCATGTGAAAACACCCAAGTAGATGTGGATACAGATCATTACGGCATTTCAAGGCATGAACAACAAGGCTTACAAATCCCATGAAAAACAAGTACCCTCTGGTTATTTAACATAGCCATGGAAAATGGCCCATTTATAGATGATTTTCCCATTAAAACCTCCATTTATGAGGGATTTTCCATGGCTATGTTAAATAACCAGAGGGTACCTCATTTAAATCCCACCAAAAAAAACGAAAAAACATTGAGAAACATCACCATTTTTCCCAATGGTCGTCCCGCACTCGTCCCGCAGCGCACTGGTCCCGCAGGTCATCGTTCTCTTTGTCGCCGTACTCCTGCACTGGCACCTGCATCATACTGCAGGAGGTTGACGAATCATAAATGTCTTGATGAATGGAATCATGGTTTCATGATATTTCATAATCAATCAAGTTGCACGGTTGTGATCTGCGCAAAAAAACATGCTGGTCATGGTTCAATTGAGTTGATTGGCTTTATGATCGCTTTGGGTGCAATTTGGTGGATGCACAGATGCTGTGTGGTAAATTGATGTTCCCATATCTTCCCTCTAAAATGTTCACACCTCTTTCAATCCGAACAGCCGATTCATGGACCTCAGCCATCATGAAGCTTGGCACCTGGTGCGCCTGACCCCGAGCGAAGCGCTGCGATCGGTCAACGTTTACAGTTTGCGAACTGGATGGTTTTCTCCATTGGTGAAATAATTCAACGAACTTAATGAGCCATTTTCAATAGCGAAGCGTTAAATTACCAGATGGGTAAATTCCATCTTGAGAGTGATCAACCATCAATGATAGCTTATCGATTACATTTTTAAATGATCCCAAGCTTGAATATTCGCATATCTATCGGGTCCTTATGGGATAAATTGTATTAAGCATCAATACCTCATTTATCTCATTATTGGGAGTTATTTTTGGGATACAACCAGCCATCCATATCCCATCAATATCCTGCTTTGATCCTTAAACAAAATGGGATTTCATAGTGGGATACAATCGTATTGATGCAGCTTGTGAACTCTTGACCATGATATAACTGAAGGTTTCCTGGAAATGCATGGCTCATCTTGTGAATCATCCCCATTTTTGTGGCCGGTGCATCACGAAAAAACTGCCCGCGACTTGAGCTACAGACAAGTTACCAATTACCCACGACTTTGGTGAATCTACTTCCCTTCGTGACATGACATTGCCAGTCCTATTATGTTCCCATGTTGAAAAAAATGTGTATTTTTGCTGAAAAAAATGGCCAGAAACGACCTTCCAAGATCCTGACATGTTTGCACAGCAACTTGAACTCATCCTCCTTCTCCCCGTATGCGTAAGACTGGTCGAACCTGCCACTGGTGGGGACCAATGAATAAAGACCTCTGTGGGGATGCCACAATATTGGTTTCCTGTATGGAAAAACGCAATACCGTTTTGGACTCATGGCATAGTGAGGCCTCTCCTTGTATTTTTGGAATATTTACCACAATTCTTTGATTATGTATAGCGCTATTATAGCATATATATATATATATGTATTATGTGATATTATGTGTATATATACTGGTTGGTGTTTTTTCGCCACCCCTCTGAAAAATGATGGAGTTCGTCAGTTGGGATGATGAATTCCCAATATGATGGGAAAGTCATAAAATTCCACGGTTCCAGTCACCACCAACCAGTATATATCATGTATAGCAGCATGGTTCACATTCCATACCATCCCATGGCTTGCTCAGGTGGGAGCTCGGGAGCGGAATTCGCACTGGGCTTTTCAGGGAAAATGGAAACAAGACCTTTACCCTCTGGTAAACTAACTGTTTGCTATTGAAAATGGCCCATTTGTAGTTGATTTACCCATTAATAGCATGGTGATGTTCCATAGTTATCCATAGTTACGTTAGTTTACCAGAGGGTAATCATCACATTCTGTTTCCGTTCAAAAGAAAAATCGGGGTGATGAAACCGATCCGCTGGCATATCCATCATATTCCAATCCCCCGGAAGCCATATTCACATCCCATCATTGGTCACTGGTTGATTCTTTGAGATTTTCGGATGATCCAAAGTGAGAAATCCATCAAATCCAACCACCATCTGATCTCGGGGTGTCCTTGGTTTGTCACTTCCAGAGTCATAGGAATCCCCTGAAAATATCTATAATATATATATATATTATATATAATATCATAAGATATATATATATATCATAAATAAATGGACAAAAAGTCAAACAGTTGGAAAAGAACTGGTGTAGCCATCCAGCTATTCGCCATGTTTCATATCTTCTCCTCCGTTTTGGGCCACAAAACCGGGATCTCCAAACTTCACAAAAAAACTCCAGCCAGGCAGAGAGGTGACCTGCCATGGCCAGGGGGTAAGGGATGACAGCTTGCTGCGAGAGTAGAGGCAGGAGGAAGGTGTGATGAAAAAGCAGTGTGTCAGGAATTTCGTGCTCTGTCAGAAATCGGCCAACATCTGTAAAATATGATCGTTTATCTTCCCAAACCAACTAAAACATGAAAGTCAACTGCCCTTCTAAACAAAATCAAGCCGACTTGATTGGTGAAAGTTTCACGTGGACTGCAAAATATCTCACAAACAATATGTTCCTGAAAGCCAAAAATATAAAACCATCATGTTCCCCCAAAAAACAACATTTTTAAGGTGGTCAAACTGCCCATGTTTCCTCCTTTTCTACTGTCAAAGTGGGCTCCAGGGGCCTTTGAGAAGGTGTAATTGTCCAGCTTCAGCGCTCCTTGCGCCGTGCCCTGCGGGATGTGATAGGACTAGCCCGGAATAGCCATGGAATAGCCATGACATGTCCAGGATTCTTGGTCAGAAATCAAGATATTGTTGTTCTACCCTCTGGTAAACTAACATAGCTATTGAAAATGGCGATTTATAGTGGATTTACCCATTGAAAATGGTGATTTTCCATAGTTATGTTAGTTTACCAGAGGGTACCCCATTGCCTCATGATTATGTCGACAGCGATGTCTTCATGCGATGTGATAAACGATGATAAACCACAACCAATCTGCCATTTGGATCCACTTGGAAGTGTATCATCGTAAACCATCCCAAGAAAATATCCATAGTAAGTAATAATGATTCTCATTGGGTAAACTATCTCCACAAATAGGAAACTATATCCATAAATGATAGTGCAAACTTTGCAACCAAAAATGTGACCATCCCGACATCGATGTTCCAACTTCATCCTGCAAGTCACACAAAAAAGTTGGCCTCCACTCCCAACAAGGAGGCGACAATCACCAGAATCACTGTTCCAACGGAGCTTGCCATCGGGGTGGACCTCTGTGCAGGTGTTGAGCATTGTTGCCATGGGACTTCCGCGAGAAAAATGATGATATAACTAACACATGAGAAGATAGCCAGCAAAAATAAAGAGCTCAACGTCTAAAACATGTGAACGTGACCAGGAAAAAGTGTCGGGTTCAGTTAGCCTTGGTCATGTAGGAATGGCAGCCTTTCGTTTAGCCCACTCGGGATTATCTGTACAAGAGAATGCGTAAAATTAGATGGTTGGGGAACAAATTTTGGAAAACGGGTGTGAATGGCAAGATACAACGTATCCTTAGTTTGACGGAATCTCCAGCTTTGCTAAGACAAAAAAACATGAGAAATCACAAGTGGCGCCTTGTTGTTGTGGCCGATCCTGCTGAATCCGATCCCGGTCGACAGTCCCGTCGTTTTTTGATGTCCGGTCGACAGTCATCCGCCAGCCCTAAGCTTTTAAAATCTTGAACAAGTGGCAACAAACTCCAGCTGTTTCCAATTCTCCAAAGGATCTCCCATTCTCCAAAGGATATTCAACTCCGAAAGTCGATTCGTACATCTTGATCCATATGGCTGAACTATGATATTTATCTATGTTTCCCAAGCTGAACGAATGTGATTTTGGGCGTACCAGCTAGTTCCCCTGCTCACCATGATGTAATCTACATTTTGATCCATACCAATTAGTAGTATCATTGTTGTCATTGTCAATATTTGGTATATATAGTCGGTACAAGCAAGCAAGCAGCAAGCAGCAAGCAGCAAGCAGCAGCAGGCAAGAAGCAAGCAAGCAAGCAAGCAAGCAAGCAAGCAAGCAAGCAAGCAAGCAAGCAAGCAAGCAAGCAAGCAAGCAAGCAAGCAAGCAAGCAAGCAAAGCAAGCAAGCAAGCAAGCAAGCAAGCAAGCAAGCAAGCAAGCAAAGCAAGCAAGCAAGCAAGCAACGCAAGCAAAAGCAAGCAAAGCAAGCAAAGCAAGCAAAGCAAGCAAAGCAAGCAAAGCAAGCAAAGCAAGCAAAGCAAGCAAGCAAGCAGCAAGCAAGCAAAAGCAAGCAAAAGCAAGCAAAGCAAGCAAAGCAAGCAAAGCAAGCAAGCAGCAAGCAAGCAAGCAAGCAAAGCAAGCCAGCAGCAAGCAAGCAGCAAGCAAAGCAAAGCAAAGCAAGCAAAGCAAGCAAAGCAAGCAAAGCAAGCAAAGCAAGCAAAGCAAGCAAAGCAAGCAAAGCAAGCAAAGCAAGCAACAAGCAAAGCAAGCAAGCAAGCAAGCAAGTAAGCAAGTAAGCAAGTAAGCAAGTAAGCAAGAAGCAAGCAAGAAGCAAGCAAGCAGCAAGCAGCAGCAGCAGCAGCAGCAGCAGCAGCAAGCAGCAAGCAGCAAGCAGCAGCAGCAAGCAGCAAGCAGCAAGCAGCAAGCAGCAAGCAGCAAGCAGCAAGCAGCAGCAGGCAAGAAGCAAGCAGCAGCAGGCAAGAAGCAAGCAAGCAAGCAGCAAGCAGCAGCAAGCAGCAGCAAGCAGCAGCAAGCAGCAGCAAGCAGCAGCAAGCAGCAGCAAGCAGCAGCAAGCAGCAGCAAGCAGCAGCAAGGAGCAGCAAGGAGCAGCAAGCAGCAAGCAGCAGCAAGGAGCAGCAACAACAGGCAAGCAGTAGGTGAGCAGTAGGTGAGCAGCAGGTGAGCAGCAGCAGGCAAGCAGCAGGTAAGCAGCAACAAAAAGCAGCAACAAAAAGCAGCAACAAAAAGCAGCAAGCAGCATGGAGCAGCAAGCAGCAGGCAAGCTGCAGGTGAGCAGCAACAGGTAAGCAGCAGCAAGCAGCAGCAAGCAGCAGCAAGTAGCAGGCAAGCAGCAGGGAAGCAGCAGGCAAGCAGCAGGCAAGCAGCAGGCAAGCAGCAACCAGCGTTTGCCCCCTTGAAAGAATGATCAAATATATTTTTTAAAATCAATGCAATAAAAAAATTGAACTTTTTCCAGCCGCACGGCCCCAAAACAATGAAATTGTTCAATTACTAAAAGTTGTGGTTATGCCAAACTTGAACTTTTTCCAGGCGCACGGCCTCCCGATACGACTTTTACAAGCTGATACGACTTAACGCTAGCGCTAGTATAAGTTATTGTTACTAGTATCACTATCATTGCTATCATTTATCATTACCACTATCATTGTCATTCTTGCTATGATTGCTCAGTGCTATACTCGTACTACTACCATCACAAATCGTATCCGGTAACCCAGCTGCAACCCAAGCGCGACCTAGCTGCAACCCAGGTGCCCAGGTGCAACCCCGAGGACTAGTCACTGCTGGACCAATGCAGCAATAATTCTCGGTCCAGGGACTTGCTACTTTGTGGGGATTTCTTCATGTAACCAGAGGGTTTATGGAGGTCTTAACAGAACAAAAATGGTGGTTTAATGTTGATATAGTGGGGAAAGACATCGTGAAAAAAACAGTTTCTTTTAGGAGGATTTTAAAAGACCGGAAACAAAATCTGGTCGTTGGTCCCTTTTTTTTGGGGCGTTTCCTGCAGAAATTCTCTGACCAAATTCTGGGAATGTCCAGGTCACCGCATGAGTCAAGTCACTGCCACTAAAAGGCCAGGTTTGTGGGTGGATTCTTTTGACATCCTTGTTACCCTCTGGTAAACTAACTGTTTGCTATTGAAAATGGCCATTTATAGTGGATTTACCCATGAATAGCATGGTGATGTTCCATAGTTATGTTAGTTTACCAGAGGGTATCCCACTTAATGTCAACCCAGGATTTTGCTAAACCATGGTTTATGAAAATTGTGGGGGTACCCTCCAAATAGTCACTATTCACTGGTACATAAATGGTACCCTCCCAATTGAACAGCCGTTTGGGGTTTATTAATCCAGGGTTGACATTATCCCACTTAGGCCTCTTAGGCTTCACAACTTTCATTGGACAAAAAATGCAGGAATGTTCTCCACATTTTCAGCATCCCTGCGTCAACCTTTTGGGTTGCCGGCTGGGAAAACTGAAGTGTGCCCGGTCACCCATTTGACTATTCATTGTGGATGAGACAAATAGCTGGCAGCCATGGATGTTCCTTGACCCATAGGATCCCATAGATCCCATAGCTTTTGACGCATGCATCTTCTTTTCTTCGCATCCGCGGCAGTGAAGCTAAGGAGCCACCAGGATGCGTCATGGGAAACTCTAAAACAGGATTGTATATCCTGTTGTTGTTGCTGTTGCTGTTGCTGTTGCTGTTACTGTTGCTGTTGCTGTTGCTGTTGCTGTTGTTGCTGTTGCTGTTGCTGTTGCTGTTGCTGTTGTTGTTGCTGTTGTTGTTGTTGTTGTTGTTGTGGCATCCCTATCATGTCTTGTTATGTGTTGGTTACCGCCGTGTTTGGTTGCTTGTTAGTGACGAACAAATGTTTAAACCAAGAATTACATCCACTGGCCCACTGGCACATCCCTATTTAGTGACATTGTGGTGTTGTCACTGTTGTCCAAAACATTGACATCCAAGCCAAGATCCCCAGAAATTTAACATGGCAATACTTGGAATGGAACATCGCCAAAACTGATTCATTGATGTCAATTGTGGAAACTACTGGAGGATACGGTCGAATTAGTGGCATCCCTACCCGACGCTTCACTAACTGCAGAACGCCTTCACACCCACAGGCGACTGATCACTCGTTGACGATTCTCCTGGCCGCTACTAAAAGAGGCTATGAGTTCAGCCAGGTGCCCCCATGTTCCAGATAGATTCCGTGAAAGTTGATACTAGAAATACGTTTCCGCCAAACTAGGAGTTTCAAGTTTCATACTACCCTCTGGTTATGACTCACAGTTCGCCATGGAAAGATCCACCATGCTATTAAGAACGGTGTTTACCATCTATTTCTAGGGGCCATCTATACCTGGTTTGATTCAAGTCACCGGATTTCCCCATTGAGTGGTAACTTGCATGAACCACCACAAAGTCGTCGCGTGGGCGTGTGAGATAATAGCTTAACGGGATCCAAAGGGTATCAGTAGCTACAATTTCGATTCGTTCTAATTACTGTATCTCATATAAATACTATCAAATACTAATACCAAATGAATTATATATTCAAATTTACATATCATTACACAACAAAAACCTCCATTGGGTTTGTCTGAAAATAGGCTGCCCCCAAATCCAACGAGCGGTTTTATCATCTTGTTCCCTTCCGCAAAGAGTCCTTTTAGATCCTTTTAGATCCTTTACCATGAAATACATTGAAATACCTCATTTATCATCATTTATCATCATTTTCAATCACACCCAACATCAGCCGCTTAACATCGCTGAACCTGATCCTCTTGTCGGATGGCTTCCACCGCCGAGCGGATTTCAGCATGGATCACCTCTGTCGATATGGGATATGATGTGCGGTCTATAATACATATATATTGTTATATGCATTTATATGCTATATATTAGTATGCTATAGGATGGTATGGTTATTGGTCTAGATCTTATTGGATGGTGTATTACGGATTGTAGAGAAGTATCGATCAATCCGAGATAACGCGGAGAGGCCTCCATGTCGCGTGCGCCGTTCACGTCTTGCCAATTCACATTCGCCCTCAGGCGAGGATCTTTGAATTGGCCCCGCACTCTGGCCTGAGACTGGGCAAACATCATGCTGATCAAATTTCACCAAATTTCGAGAATCATTATAGTTGCATCAATAGTCATCCCCAAAAACATAGAAGTTTGTAAAATCCCACTAAAATGATGATCGTTTACATTTAACTATCCCTGGAGGGTTAGTATGCAGAAAAAGTCAGAAAAATCCCAAAGTGTCCATTGAAACCACGCCCTGCGCGCCTGCATCTCCGCATTTTCGTATCGCTCATCCCCAAAATTGGAGCGAGCAGCACCGACCTGCCAGTGCTCAAAGCTCTAGGCAGTGGACTTCCGAACTCAAAAGCGGGGTATATCATCATATCACCACATATCACCATTAACTACTATTATGTAAATTGGTGGATTAATATATCGATTATATTATAATAGTACTACATTTAGCTAGTGCACTGGTAAGAATACGATCCTGTATTTTTATAATTATAATAACTATAATTATCAGTATTAATACATTTATCACTATATCGATTATCATATATATATAGATTATTATAGATTACCACTACCTTTGCCTTTTCATCGATGTGCAGGAAGAAGATGCCATCCGGACAGGGAAGCCCTCGATCTGGCGCTTGACACCACGAAAAGTCCAGACCTGCCAGACCCATCCCCGGGTCCCCGGAGTAGACACCGTAGACACCAAACAGAAGCATTGATGAACAGAAGATACCATGAAATATCATAATGCATATCATAATGAAATATCATAATGAAATATCATAATGAAATATAACATCATCATAAAATATCATAAAATATCATAAAATATCATAAAATATCATAAAATCATATAAGCCACTGCATGTGTGACTACCTTTCTTCGATACTGGCCGCCAGGTAGAGGTGTCATGGTCGCATCAGCATGGGTATCCAAACCTCATGGATGGCCAAAGGTTAAAACCCCTGGGCCCCAAAAAATCATGGAAAATCATGATGTTTGATCCAAAACCATATTGAACCCTATCGTATAACCAGATATGTATGTTGAAATCCCATGTTCCGATGAACATTCATATATTATCCCCATTATATTATTGAATATATTTATGTTATGTGTCCATGATATTTATCCCGTGAATATCCATATATTACCTCTATTATATCCCCAAATAAAATTCATAACCATCTTGTGGGTGACTGGATCAAAGTATCCCAAGATATCCCAAGTATATATGTGTCCATGTTTTTTGGTTTAAATCACCATGATACATTGGATAAATGTTCACTGTAAATGGTGAACATGTTCTGTTGGTCAAATTATCTAAATCTGAATTTTCTTGCACAAAAAATTGCACCTCCTAAATTATCTAAATTCATGGAACCTGAAATGCCAACATTTAGTAGCGACATCTTCTAACTGGGATCTCAGTTTTCAGGTTCCATGACAAATTTAGGGGCTGTACATTAACACATATTAACACCATCTTAAATCAGCATTAGATCAGGTCATTTTCCAGCACCATCAAATCACCATCAGGCAGCCATTTTAAGTCATCATTTTCTCAGGTCATGACACATCATGACACATCCCCAACGCCTTTCGCCGCCGAGTAGGCCACTCCCGAGAAGGCATAGCGGTCGCAAATGATGGTGGTCCCCGCCCGCAGGTCCTGAATCGACGCGTTGAGTTATCCATGAGAAATCTTGGAAATGAACCAAAAAAAATCCTGTATCAAAAATGGCATTTAGAGGAAAATCGTTGAATCAAATGAGAGGATCTTTGAACTTGTGAGATTTTCCAGCATGTGACTGGATATCAGCATTGGAAAATGGGATGATTTCAGTGGCTGGGATGAGCCAAAGTCGCAGGCATTTATGGAGGTTCATCCCACTAACACTCCATGGCTATGCCACTAGACCCTGAAATCTTAGGAAATTGTATTCTACCCTGCAGTTTCAATATATTCAATATATGTTTTGTATTGGTTTGTTGTACTTTATCATAATCCAACGTTGGCCGAATCTGCTTCCATAATGTGCAGCGAATCTGCTTGGGATTATAGACCCCCAACTCATATAGGTATGGTTGCAGGAAGCTGTATGACTGCAATGTGCAATAGGGTTAGTAACGGTTAGTAGATGTCTTTAGACATAAGAAATGTGCTTGGGACTCCATGGGACCACAGAAACAGCATCAGTTGTGAGTCCGATCAACAAAAATCCTGTCAAACTGGTTGGTTACAGGGGCTTCTCACAGTGGAATTGTTAAATCTCTCCTGGTGCGTCTGACATATCCATTCCGATCAACTGCCACCGCCTCCACAATAGACTGCGCCATCTCCCACCGATTGGCGCTAAAAAGCCTGTGAACCGCTTCATCCGGAAGTTCCAGTTGCCTCACATCCGAAGCCGGGATTCAAAAAACTATTGATGTAACTCGTTTAAGAACGTGTAGGTTTGGTAATTGGTTGTATAATTCAATATGTGATTTGTTTTTATAGTATGTTGATGGGCTTCATGGTATGAAATTGCAACCACCTGTACGTTTGGGAACACCCAATGAGAAACAAGACCCAGCTATGACAGTATATGAGTGAAGCAGTACTCTCATCATATTACTAATGTCAAACCCCTTCCAAATTGAAGGTACATCAGTATATCCAGGTTTGCGAACGTATGTTGACAAAAATTAACTTTGCAGCTATGATTTAGTGTATCATAGCTTTGATTGTGTCTTCATCCTACTGGCTATATGGCTACAGCGACGGCTATGGCTATGGCTGTGAGTATAGTTCTGGCTATACAGTATCATATCATATCATATCATATCATATGCTACATCCTCTGGCAATTAGATCAACATTGCTGGAATATGGCTTGGAAGAAGCCAGCCACCATCACCAGCCACCCGTCCAAAAAACCTTCGGAGGTAGAGGTCAATGGCCGCGCCGATGGGCGTCTTCCGATTGGGGAAGCACGTCCACTTCACGGGACGACCTGCCTGGGAATGGTCAGATGGGGATTCTGCACCATTTTCCCATGGCCCATACCCATAGGATCCATGGTGCTGCTATATATGGTAACATGGATCCCATCAATATACCCCCAATGTTAGTATATATATATACCAGCACCATGGATCCTATGGCCCATAGTATCCCATGCTTCGTCAAGATGTCAAGATTTCGAGATATTTCGAATGCCTGGACTGGATTGGGCCCCAAAGGGCCTTAGAGAAATATTCCTCCAACTTTTTACTCTGCGTGGATTTGCCGCTGCGATCCAGTCCTCGGCGATGTCTTCGGAACCAACCCGAAGCGGGAGCTGCCGATTGCACACCGAGTCACCATTTTTTGGGGATGAGATGGATCCTAGATGGACGTCTGACACATGACATGTCCCAAGGCACCTATCTCCCAAGCACCAAAAACCCTTTCTGATTTAATGGCCCAAGCGGCCCTCGAAAACGAAGAAGAGGCCGCGCTGCGCTGAACCCCAGATGGGTTTCTCCTGTGAAATCCGCGAGGTTTTGGGTATCGCTTAGGTGATACGCAAATGGCTCCAAAGCTGGCCCTAGTTTTGCCCTCAAATCATAGTGTGGGATATTGGATATTGGCTATATCATGATATATCATGACTGGAGATTTCCTGAGTCATGGGGGTACCAGTCATCATCCATTTTTCATTGGGATGAAAACCATGAAAACCATGAAAACCATAAAACCAACCAGAAAACTCGCTGGTACCATGACTTGTGGGATCCACCTCCGCCCGTTTCACGCGAATCACGTCGACTCCTCTGGTGGAGCTTCTAGGAATCTCAGCGCGCTGCGGACGTCAGCGGCTTCGGCCTCGGCTGGTGGTTTTCTCGGTAAGCCACACACACACATTACAAGGTGGTGCCCCGGTGCCCCCGTTTTCGATAAGCGTTCAGTTGGGGCTCACAGAACTCCAATGTCACGTGTTGGTTCTGGTTGGTGACATATCCAACTAGTATGAACTAGGGCTTATAAACCAATTCGTAATTTTTGGGGGGGCACGACCTTATTGTATATCATCAAAAATCACAAACAAGTGAATATCATCCTGGTTCAACATCAAACTTGGGGGCACTATAGTAATAATTTCGGGGGTACCATCAATGATGTGGGGTTCACTAAACCATCTATTTTCAGACAAACCCATAGATATCCTGAATATTGGGAATGGGCTAAAGATGGCTAAAGCCTTTTCTGGATATATGTTATCACTCCCAAACCTGATAGGATTGTGGCGAACTGCTCGATGCTTTGTGGCTTGCAGCCCAACTTCGGCTAACTTTAGCAACCCGCAGTTCGGGATAGCAATTGATGTTTTCCCTTGTTTTTTTCGATGGTTTCTGCTTTCTTATCTAATTGGGGACCACTTCAAAGAACCAGCCGCCAGATCCATAGCGGTAGCAGGCCCTGGATCAAAGGCTTTTGTTCAATGACGTCTTGGTGAGTTCTAATTCAAAACCTATCCAAAATCATATGTGGGGCCTTCCATTTCCCATCGGATCCATCGGTCATTGAAGAAGGGCTTCCAAAGGCTGCAATCTTTTGACAGCGCCCTTTCCATCAGCTTCAGAAGAACCCTCCGCAAAACACAGCCGGAAGACCCCCTGTTCTGCAGTCGGCCAGATCCCCATTTTTCGGGGCACCAAGCGGCATTGCTCAGTTCTTGCCCCACCATCCGACGCGCCGCAAGGACCTAGGCTCACAGTGCTGCTGCTGACACACCTCGTCCTGAATCATTCTCTTCCAAATGGGCCATGGTCAATCCATCAGTGGGAATGCTTATAACTTATAATGGGATTTGAAAATTACATCTTCCTCTATTGGATTGATGACCATGATGACCATCCCCAAATATAGATGCATGTCTTATCATTTCTTGCGAAATTGGAGCATTTTACGCATGTCGGAAGGTCCTTCATCCACAACACCTGTCACATCCGTCACCCAAAGATGGCACACGTCCGTGCTCTGGGGAACCCCCGCATGGTCCATCCTGGGCAAATCCAATCCAGAAATTGAGAAACGAACCGATAAAACACCTCCTGTCTCAAGAACTCACATTGAATACTCCCATCCCAAGTGACTACGGCTCCAAACTAAGTATCTAAACACATGCTTGATTTTTTTCATCAGGTTATATGATATTTGGTTTTGCTATTCTATGATGTCATGAACTTGGGAGCACTCAACAACCATCCAGGGACATCCGCAAATGGGGTTTCCCGACAGGTTCACACTTTGCGGCGTGGCCACTGCGGCAATGGCCTTGTTTAGGCCGAGAGCTGAACCACTGCCACTGGCAGAGACTGGTGGGTGTGAAATCATCATCCCCAAATGGCCACTTCAGTAGGAAACATTCTGCCATTGGATTTTGGATACTATATTTTCCTCTATTTTCAAAACAAACCCAACTCAAATCAGCCTTAAATTTCATTTAATTTCTACCACGCGCACAGCATGGTGCCAGGATGCCACACGGACCATGACCACGGCAATGCCAAGGCTTGCCAGCAGCTGGAAAAAGCTTTCCCCATCACGGTTGAATGGCTGGTGGTTCCAAACTTCAAATCTTTGAACGTGAAAAATTGAGGGTTTCCCATGGGGTTAAACCATGTTTTTCCTAAGTGCGTTTTGCGACAGGTTCTCATTTCACTCTTGGGGAAACCTTTGGGGTGTTCTATCCACATAAGGAGCTGTCAATTTTCCAGGAAGTTCTGGCTCTGAAGCTTCAATACCCACCACAGTTGGAAAAACATGACTGACCTGGAAACTGGAACTGATAGCCCAAATATGTTGGGAAATTGACACCCCAGGCCCCAGGCCAACTCTGTCCAAGAAACAACAAAACCACCGTTCGGGTTGGTCAAAGGCCGAATTTTGCCTGGTTCTGTACATGTGTTTCTTATAATTGAATCCCATGACCCAACATGACCCAAGACTCTCTTTGTTTTTTCACTGTGGCAGCAAACCGGGGCAACGCCAAAGCTGAGATCCAGAAAACATGGTTTGCAGCTGCAAGTCCATGATGCCAGTGAGAACTCGCTCCCCACCTGCCCTGAATTCCTGGGTCCCACTCTCCCCACAAATCCGCTGTGTTTTCCTCAGGAAAGGCCACAGATCCCAAGCACCGAGCTTGGAACAAGTCTGGGTCGGGTCTAGAAAATCTCGAAACTTTCCGTCCACCCAAAATGCGCCGCGGAGATTGAACGACTCTTGTAGGTCAGCGCGTGACCCTGTGCGGTCTGAGAAGATTCCGTTCTTTCAGGCGGAGCAAGTCTCCCTTTGTCCGACTTGGCGAGCAAGTCAGCGTGTAACCGCATATGTTGTTTTTTCAGGGGAACGATCAGACTTCTCACCTCAGCCTAGAAATCAAAGGAGCATCCAGGCTGAACAACACTCCGACACAAGAGGGATTGTTACATTCACGCTTGGCTGAACCTTTGGCCCGCGTCTTACTCACAATCGGATTGGCATGCAGCAAATATGAGTCAAATATGTTTGGCACGGAAATTGAATAGTTGCAGTGTTGTAAGCCCAGAAAGAAAAATATGCTTGTTCTTGATCGGGCAAGATGAAACAGCTGGTTGAACCAGCTTCACCACCCAGCATGTGGCCACATGCGGCCTAGGTCAAATTCTCACTACAGATTTTGGTGATCTCGCAACATCTAAGCACGTGCAAAAAACAAAGCTGAAACACGCTATTTAAGCAGTTCAATCAATGTCATCGTTTTGTGGCCTCCTCACAGAAGTCTGGAGAACCGAATCTACGACTTTTCCAACCCTACTTGAGGCGCCGTCAAACTTCATTATCTCAGCCTTGCTCAAGACTATATAACGGGTGTGGTTTTCCACGGGGTCGCTACCCAGAGGTTTTGCTTCTGATGCTGGGTGAAGAGTAATTCACAGCAAATCGAATGTACAATCTGCACCGAATCCAAGCTAGCCAGCTCTTGTGCTGCTTTGCTGTTGTGCTCGAGATGCCAGCAGTATGAGCTGGAAAGAATAAACAATCCATCAAATGTCGCTTTTTAAGCAATTCAATCAATGTCATCGTTTTGTGGCCTCCCCACAGAAGTCTGGAGAACCGAATCTACGACTTTTCCAACCCTACTTGAGGCGCCGTCAAACTTCATTGTCTCAGCCTTGTTCAAGACTAACGGGTGTGGTTTTTCACGGGGCCCCATTGCTACCCAGGGGGTTTTGCTTCTGATGATGGGCGAAAAAGTAATTCACAGCAAATTTAATGTACAATCTGCACCGAATCCAAGCTAGCCAGCTCTTGTGCTGCTTTGCTGTTGTGCTCGAGATGCCAGCAGTATGAGCTGGAAAGAATAAACATGAATAAACAATCCATCAAATGTCGCTTTTTAAGCAATTCAATGTCATCGTTTTGTGGCCTCCCCACAGAAGTCTGGAGAACCAAATCTACGACTTTTCCAACCCTACTTGAGGCGCCGTCAAACTTCATTGTCTCTCAGCTTTGTTCAAGACTAACGGGTGTGGTTTTTCAAGGGACCCTATTGCTGCCCAGCTTTTTTGCTTCTGATGATGGGTGAAGAGTAATTCACAGCAAATCGAATGTACAATCTGCACCGAATCCAAGCTAGCCAGCTCTTGTGCTGCTTTGCTGTTGTGCTCGAGATGCCAGCAGTATGAGCTGGAAAGAATAAACAATCCATCAAATGTCGCTTTTTAAGCAATTCAATGTCATCGTTTCGTGGCCTCCCCACAGAAGTCTGGAGAAAAGAATCTACGACTTTTCCAACCCTACTTGACATAAGCTGAATGACATGGGCTGCATTCCAGAAGTATCATGCAGCACTGTTTCACACAGATTGTAGAATATTGTAGATGTTTCTTCGGCAAGAAGGAGCATGGAAACCTGTAGCACAGCCTGGAAAAAACATGTATGATGTGCCGCGCGTATGATCCCCGTTTTCCAGTGCCCCCTGAAGGATGCCTTTCACAAAACAGGGGCCCTGGACTCAAATAAATAAAACTAGTGTCCCACAGCGAAAGAAATTTAAGGATGCGCCTTGTCCAAAATGAAGGGGCATGTCGTGATTTCAAAACATGTAATGACACCCCAGGAGCTACAAAACACCATGGCCACAATGTTGCTTGTAGATCTTGTAGCATACTTATGATCTGGGAGTTTCTTAGATACGCCCTGAGATTACACCTTCTTTTCTCTTTATTTGGCGATAAATCCAACACATCAATGGATATGTCGGGCTCAGGGCGTATTCTGCCACTTCCAAATGTCCTTGTGCACTTGTTGAGCTATAACCTGGTAGCAGCCGCTGGCACAGAACGGTGGCTCACGTGAGAGAAGCAGGAAAGCGGGACCGGCATGATATGGCCCAGCAATTTGGCTCCCAAAATACAGTCATCATACCCATTAGTTCGATCGAATTCGAGCGTGGTCGAGCGACTTGGTGAGAAATAATGCTACATGCACTAATTAGGGAGATTGTAGGGTGTACTGCGAGGGGGTATTTGAAAAATCCCTAGATATGATCACATCTTTGGCTGGAGTGCTCTCATGATTTGGGACGTTCCGGCTGCTCTTTCCACCCCCAACGTGCCCCACAAAGCAACAGGGAAACTTCGGCGCCTCGGGCGTGTGAATAACGTGCATGCATCTTCGATCATGCTGATTTGCCATCATAACTTGCTCGTTTTTCTCGCAATCCTGCTTCGGGTGGTTCAAGCTGGTTCATCGGACAGCTTAAACAGCACTGATGGGGATAGGTTGGTTATATCTTTTGAAGCAGTTGCCAACCTAATCTGGAAAAGTGCCCACGCAATATTTCTGTCACAGTTTGGAACCTGCACCGCGAGTTCACCAGAAGAAGCTCAACTGAGTCGTATTAAAAACCCGGTTTGAAAATGCTGATCCCAACCACAAATCATCGTAATTCCATGCGGCGGTCTTCATGTTTACAATAGGACCTCCACATTTCCAGATTATATATTAATATTGCCAGACGGAATCTTGGATGCTTTTGAGATACGGAGAAATAGAACAATGAATGGTTGTTTTGTATTGTGTACAGAAAATGGAGACATCTACGATATAAAAGGGTCATATATGTTTATATTAGGCTATGTGAAGGATAATTACCTAAGCCCAAATGAGAAAAGAAAACCAAAACGGGTCAAATGGGTCTATGATCACCTGGGACGACTTTGGATGTCGTTCAGATGTCGTTCAGATGTCGTTTCGGATGTCGTTCAGATCGCCGGTGGGATTCAAAAATTTGACATATTGCTCTGTGACCGATCTAAGCACTCAGACACAAGCGGTCGCACAGGGTTATGAAAGCTAAAAATGGCTCATGTGGGATGGAAATGGAAGACTAAACAAAATAGAATGTGGTTTTCACAGACTCCCATATATGTCTATGTATGATTTGGATGTCGTTTCAGATGTCGTTCCAGATGTCGTTCCCCACCTAAATGGACTACCCTCAAAACAGTTTAAAGCCAGAATTAGGTGCGGCGGTGCGGCGAACTATGGACCAAGGATCACCGAATACATAGCTGAGTATTACCGGGTTTTTAATACAGCTCAACTGTTTTTGACAACATTCGGCATTAGGAGCCTGTTGAGATGCGTTTGCTTGTCCAATGTGAATTTGTCCCAACTGCGGTGGTTGAGGTGTTGCTCAAACAAGCTTGACGAGAC